TAAATAAATAAATGTTATGAAAAAAATTAATGAGAATAAAAAATCAAAATAAAAATATAATCCTAAAGGCATTATAGTAAATATACAATAATACATTTCCTTTCCTTTTTTTTTCTTTTCACTCTTATCCAAACAACAAGTGAAAAATGATTTTTTTCCTCTCCCTTTTCTTTTCTCTCACTTTATTTCCTTTATTTTCTTTCCTCCCAGGAGGAATTATCCAAACAAAGGGTTTGTCTTTCATGTAAGATTTTAGATGGCTAAATCATCCCAAACCACATCATAAATTTTCAGTAGAACTGAGATTGATTCATAATCTGGAAAAAATTTAATTTGATTTTTATGAATTATTTTTTTAGTAAATGTTAGGCTTTTCGGATTAATTTTTTAATTTTTTGACATTGATTATACTTAAAGATCATGTAACGGTTTTAAAAAAATAATATATATTCTACTAATTTGCATCTGAAACATAAAACGTACATGAGAATATTAATTAATGAAATACGTATTACTTACTAAGACTGTCGTCTGTTAACTCTATGTACGGTTAATGATAAAAAAAACTAATCGAAATAGCTTTTTATTTATAAAAAAAGTTCACGGCAATCAAATTAAAATTAATTTTTTTTTTAAAATTAGAAGCCCATCTTGTAATTTTTATTAAATTCAAAGTTAAGATGATAATTTGAGGATCCAAATACCTCGATATTTTAATTTACGATATTTTTCTCGTGGTTCATCAGAAAAGAAATGAAAAAAATTGCCATCAATGGATAATATGAAACACCAATTATTTATTTAATTATTAATAGCGGTTTGAAATTGATGTGACCTAGAATAGCCGAATCAGTGACGTGGCCTATCTCACATAAGCCGTAGCTCCTTACAACAAAATTTAGAATTACATTTAATTTCTTTCAAATTTAAAAAATGGAGACCAAAAATATTTTGGTTACATTCCACGTATTAAAAAATATTTTTTTTAAAAAATATTTTCTCATATTTATTGTGTATTAGATTATTGCATATTTGGTACAGATATGTAATTTTTTCCAAGCGTAAGTTTATATTCTCTAAATACATAATAAAAATATTGTAAAATCTATTTCTGAATTAATGAGAATAATTTGAGTATCAGAGAAAAAGAGTAAATTATAAATTAGTATCTCTGGTAAATTATAAATTAGTATCTCTGGTTTTGAGAAGTTAATTATTTAATCCTTTGATTTTAAAAATTAATTAATTTATTTTTGGAGGGACTAATTTATAATTTACTCTCGAAGATACTTGATACAAATAGAGAGGGAAAAAAAAAAAAAAAAAAAACCTCTGGATTGGGTCCAGGTTGCACTTCAATCGCAGGCCTAATCAGCCCCAAGTAAATATCATAACTGGATCAGCAAAAATAAAAGCGCGCCAAATCAACAAAACCCCAACCCCAACGGTAGCTAAAACAAACGCCCTCCTCCAGCTCTGTCTCTCTCTCTCTCTCTCTCTCTCTCTCTCTCTCATTTTCAGTTCCTCAATTAGCAAAGGAAAATTTCTGCGTTTTCCTCTGTTGAGCTTGCCGTTTCAAGGTCAGTGGCTAAATAGGTCTTCTTCTTTTCTGGTCTTTTGATTTTGAAGAGCTAATGGAGGTTAATTAAGAACCGGGTTTTGTAATTAAATTAAGAAATTTTGGGTTCTTGAATTTGAATTTGAATTTGAGTAATCAAGCTGTGTTTAAGATTGATTAGTTGTTAATAAGATATAATTAGCGATGTTAGGGGCTTTCCTGTTGATAAAGTTCAGGTCTTTTTAGGTTTTAGTTTGTTTGTAATCTATTGTAGCTAAAGCTAGGGTGAAATTAGGGTTTCTGGGGAAGGGGGGGGATTAGGAAATTAGATTAGCTGTGATCGAGTTTAAAGAGAAGTTAATAAATTTGGGGTCTTGGTTTGTATTTTAATAGTAACTAATTTGGCTGAAAATTAGGGTTTCTTTTGGGACATAACTATGTTTTTGAATTTGTGTTAATTGAAAGTTTAATTTTTATTGTTTATGTTAGTGTTTGTCTGTGTGTTCTTTTACTAGTGCTGATATGGAGTTACGTTCTTCGTGTTGCATGCTCAAACAGATCACTAAAAAATTGCACTCAAAATTTGGTTGGTGAAACGAGAATGGTTGATTATATTGCGTAATTTCTTGTGGTTCCTTCCCCCCAAGCTATTATTACAGAGGGGTTTGAGAACATTTAGTTACTGAAAAATTTGGTCAGGCGAGGCCATAGAGAGCTGCTTAGATTGTGGCCACCAAGGGTTGGTGCTCGATGTGGCACCCTTGCCAGTGGCTGAAGGTTTAAGCCCAATCGTTCTTGAGTCTTCAATTTTCTTCCAAGGGCACTGGCAATCCCAGGCTGTATTTAACTCTCACTTGAGCTCCTTTTTTGGCAACTCATCAAATTTGACTCCTGGAATTAGGAAACGTTGTTTGGGTTTGGGGCATGAATAATGTGGACTTGAACAGTGTGGCAAACTCAGGACTGAGTGTCGGGGTGAGTTCTTTGGTGATTTCCAAGTTTGTTGATGGTTGAGTTCGTATAGAAATGGGATTATGTGTGAACAACTAGAGGTGGTTCGTGAGTACAAAAAATGGTAGTTTGGCATTGTTGTTTATTAAACGGTTCTGATTTAATCTGATACAAATTCTCTGAGGTGTTTCAATGACATGATAATTGTGCAAGCAGGTTCACCAAAATGCAGAAATGCAGCAGCTTAATCATGTCCCCTACTTGTTTAAACTTGTTTGTGGGGTTTACTTTTATTTAATTAATGCTTATATTAAGGTGTGGTTTGGTTCATGGGATGGTGAGTTGAATTTCTGCGGAGGCAGTGGTTTTGTTTGGTCCGGACTAACTTAGATCACCTTTCTTTCATTTTATGTCCGAACTTATTCAGTCTTGTTAAATTCCATCTTGCAGGAGACGTTCACCAATCAATCACGGCCGAAAAGGCCAGTATACCTTTGATTGTGGTATGCCAAGTTTTGCTTAGGGCATATTAGATTTATGAATTATCCAGCTTGAATCAGAAATTGTCATCACTTTCCCCTTCTCTACTTAAATTATTACAAATCCTGGTTGGCAACTGTGGGAAAAATCCCCTATTAATTTAGGACTCAGGAACCAAAAACGAAGAGCAAAACAGCAGGTGATGAAAGAGTCAAGCGAAGGGGAGAATGAATCGATTGCTCATGGTGGACCCATTTACATTCCCAATTTGGTGGGTCCTCTCACTAGCATTCCTGAATTCCAGTCTGCTCTTCTCAGTGAGCTTCAGGTTTATATATTTTATATTGTCACACTTGCTTTTATATGTCATTATGGATTATCAATCACTCCTCTTTTGATTATGTAATTGATTTGTACCATCCAACTATTGCAGAATTTACAGTCAGAACTGTCCTTGGATTCTTCGGAACTCTTGAATGACATTGATCTTTCGTATGTTTTCCTCTATCATCTACTTTATTGATTAAAACTTGATAATGTTCTATTTTCTTAATTTGTTGTTTGCTTTTCTTCACTAAAATTTGGTTACACAAATTCAATTGGTGCATGTAGGGTTGATGAGCTTAAAATTTTTAGTGAGGAAGAGTTGGTAGATATGGCCTTGAAGGAAGCTTTTAAGGTTTGCTGCTTTTTATCTCTTTCTCTCCCCTTTTAAATCAATCTATTAATTTATGAGAGAATCACACTTATATTTACTACTGATTTGGTTTGGTAATTTTAAAATGAGCAATGCAACAGGATGACGAGAATATTGGAAGTTCCTCAGAGCCTTTTGCAGAATGCTCAAATGGAAGGTCAGTGTAGGCATTTTTTCTTCTTCTTGTCTTTTTTAATCAAACATCCCTTTTTTGCATATATGCAATATAAAATATCATTGCTTTAGGTTCCTATTATCCATATTTATGTCCTTTCAGGTTTATTATGATACTGTTGAGATCAGATACCCTTAACTCTCACATTATGTATGTATGTATCTACTGCTTAAGTCAGTACTTGCAATCACGCATCCCTCAAAGAGAGAGAGGGAGAAAACAGGAAATGGATGAAAAATCTGGGTTGGCTGTGTTTTTCTTTTCCATGTGCCAATAAGGAGTTATTATTTTGTTTTTTAATTTTCCTGAAAATAGATGGAATTAGGACCCTAAAGGTAAACTTGATCTTTCATTCAATTGACCAGGCTCAAAATTCTTGCCTTCCTTTTCCGAGAATATGTCTATCAAAAGCATTTGGTTATATTTCATGTTTTACCATTGATGAATGTAATAAAAGTTACTGTTGTCACAACCTTTTTCATGCGATGTTATTTTTGTATTTGATGAATTGCTGCTCTGCTTATTGGTGATAGATAAGTCAGATCTGCAAACAAGAATAGTTGCATTAAGGCAAAGGTGGAAAATGATTGTTGCCAATGGCCAACCTCATCTAGTTTGGGATTGGGATAATTTTGATTTAGTTGAATCAACTTCTCTGTCTGCTTCCTTCTGTTTCCTCTTCTCCATGTATGAGTTATAGGATCCTTTAATTGTTTGGAAATATTGATCCGCTATTTGTTAAGCAAACAACTTTGATTTTTTTCTTTTTTTATTAAATCGGTTTAGTTTTGTTTCAGCAGAGATGACAGCCTTAGATTGTGCAACAATAAAGATTCATTCTCACAAAGCTCTAGGACAAGAAGGGACACTTCAGCTCCTCTGGAATCATCAAATGGATCTCATTCTGGCACCAGTTGTAATAGAACTACTATTAATGGCAACAATTCAAAGAAGATAAAGAGAAGAAAGTCAAATAAGCATGATGTTAACGTATGTTACACTGTCCTGTTCTATTATATTCATATTTTACTTTTCTGCTTGCAGCTAATGTGTTTCTTCTGCATTGAGACAATGACTAGGTTGGCGCACAGTATTACCTTGAACTTTGAACAAATTAATCATTAGGCTCTGATAAATTAGATCTTTTACTTTTCCTTGTCTTAAATATTTGTTCTTATCAATGCTTCTGTCTTCTACTAAAATATATGATGATATTTCTCTAATACTTGCTGCTTGCTTTGACATTGCAATTTTTTAGTAAATTCACACATAAGATTGAAAGACACATGGTAACAATATGCTAGGAATTTCTACATGCTCCCTTGTTTGGAATTAATTAGGTGAAATTAGTTAGATTAATGAAGAAGCACGCAATTACTTACTTGGTAACTGTATCGCAACAAAGATTACTTCTAGGTTTAATATTTTTCAAATTTCCCTTATCTACAGGAAATAGTTATGCATTCTTATTCTTATTATTTTATTTTATTTTATTTTTCTTCATGGACAGGAGAGTTACCTGACGAAGGTGGATGGTCTGGTAAAAATAAAACAAAAGCAGGATGAAGACAAAGCAATGGCTTGTCTGCATTCCTTCAAGTATGTTTTTGGATATATTTTTGCATTTTGCAACACTTGATTCTTTTCTTGTTTTCCACTGATTATTATGCTTTTCTTAACACTTATTATTACCTTTATTTTTTCTTCTTGTAGTTGCAAGATCAATTTCAGTGGCATTCCTTCCTTATGTAGAACCAAAACGATGCAATCCCTCAGGTCCACAAATTTAAATCAGGTTCTCTTTAGAAGTGCCTATTTTGTTTTTCATTGCGTCTTCTCGATAAGTATGTACTACTCGTAGTACATGCCAATACTCTACTCAATTTAATATTGTACAATTTGGTAAAGTTCTTATCTATTCTTTTATCATGACTTCGTTCAAATGCACCACAGCCGAAGTCTTCAGTTGTTCAAGAACACACACCTGTGATGGTTCCAGAGGTTGTTATTTGTGTTGAGATTTACCACAACATACGTAAATGGTTAAAGGTATAACGTTGGCACTTGTTTTTCACTCAAATTCTAATATAGTGACATTTACTTTTTAACATTTTTATTTATATATTTCTTGTTCTGCACGGTGAACTGTTTTTGTTAGATTTAGTTGGTTTCGCTACAACTTCTATTATTTACATAATTCATGTTCTGGAGGGCTTATATTCTTTTGTTGCCTATGTTTGCCCTTTTCCATTTCCTTCTTTGACTTCATGTTGAATTTGTTGCAGACTCAAGAGTTCTTTGTTCTAGGAGGACAAACCTTGACTGAAATGAGGGATAAGATTTATTGCTTGACAGACCAGGTGATGCAAAAGGCGGGGCAGCATGATCCTTCAGGATATTTTCTTGTAGAAGTACGAATTGCTAATCACTCTAGTTTGAGTTTGTCACGAAGAGAGTTTTTCACTATATCTAATGATACACTGCATTTATGTAGGATGTTTTTTGCAATGATCTGAGAGATACATCTGCTATAGATTATAGTGAACCTATAATTGATTGGCTTAGAAACCAAAAAGCTGATGCTCTTAGAAAATGGGAGTGTATCATAAGCGGTGACTTGCAACAAAAGCAAAAAGCAGTTGTAGGTGAATCAACCACTCCATCTTTACCTCAGCTTAGACGTGTCAACATGCAGAACACACGGTTTTGTGACTTGAGATTTCGTCTTGGAGCGGGATATCTTTACTGTCATCAGGTACTCTGCTAGGAATCATGAACATGCAAGTTTTATCTTTTTTAGACATGATCACGGTCTTCAACTTTTTGTCTGTCTTCTCGCAGGGAGATTGTAAGCATACAATTGTATTCAGAGACATGAGGTTGATTCATCCTGATGATTTACAAAATCTTGCAGCTTATCCTATAGTCAGTTTTCAAATAAAATTTCGTACCCAGAAATGCATGGTATGCAGGATTTATAGAGCTGTAAAGGTGACCGTGGATGACAAATGGGCCCCAGATAACCCCTGCTATTTCTGTAAAGATTGCTATTACCTACTTCACCACTCTGAGGACGGCTCTTTACTATACAGTGGCTTCTCTGCATATGACTATGTCCATGATTAATTGCCCGAGGTCTAGGTGAGGTCTATGTTTCTGATTGCTGTGGTTGCAGAGTTGCGGTGGCGGCCCCAATAGCTTGTAATTGCAATGACCAGTGGATGTTCTTATAATGCTGACCGAGTCCATTATTATTACCTTGGAAGAACGCATAATGCAAAACTGAAACTGATGGTATTTTGCTGGCTACTTGATATCAGCGTTGGTTGCATTGGTCTTCCAAAGTTTCCGTGCCTTTTTGCAGCTCAAGTGAGAAATTGCAATGGAGATGCGAATCATAGCTTTAAGTAGGATTGTGCAGATTAAATCATAACTGTAAATTTTGTAAAGCATGAAGTACGATTAGAAGATTTTCAAAACCATTTCTTTGCAAAATTAGATATAATATTTTGTACCATATTTGGAAAATTTATTTACATGCAACCTCATCATTCAAGGTAAATAAAGTAGTTTGGTTAAAAGTTAAGACCCAGAATACCTTGATTGTTGTAGTTCAATTCTGGGCATGAATCTGACTTTCCATCCGAATGGATTTAGTAACGATCGAAACGTTTTGTGACCTGCTTTTTCTTTTTTCTTTTTTCTTTTCTTTTTGATAATAAAAGTTTTGTTGAATCGGTTTGTATGTTAATTGAAATTAAGTTTTTTTTTTTTAGATGAACATGAGCGTGTTTTTAAATAAGTGGGATTTAATATATTTTTTTAAGTGATAATTTCAAAGCTTATATATATATATAAGAGCAAATCTTCATCAATCCCTTAGAATTCTTGGCCTACTGGGTAATATGTGGTCAGAAAGCAGACCATTAGATCGGATTTTACATGATGAGGTCATAAAATAGAAAAGTAAGACCAGTTCTTAATCCTATCCGATGCAAATTCGGTGTTTTTAAGCTTTTTTTTACTTTGGTTTTTTACCCATGGCTAGGGGTGTTCATTCGGTTTTTTTATTCGATTTTGATATTTTGTTTTTTTGGTTTTCAGTTAACCAAATTGGTTAAAACAAAAACCGAAATCAAACCGAATTGTTGTTTGGTTTTTCGGTTAAAAACCAAATTTTCTCGGTTCGGTTTTTGATTAAAAACCGATTTTTTTTTTTTTTGCATTTTTCTTCTAAAAATTGAATTATTTTGCTTTTAAAAAATATCAAACTTGCATAATCAAATATTGCATATTTCACATTTGATTTTATAAGAAAATTATGTATGATTATTATTATTTTTCTATAATAAATATGTTTCTATTTATATTATAAATTAAATTAGTTGAGCTTCTCATTATTTTTTCAATCACGCTATAATTGGTTTTTTATTAATTTTTATATTCTTTTTTTAATCTATTTATTTTGTGCATATTTTATTGTTGAATATATAATATGAAAAATCCAATTTTTAATTTATGTTTGTGCCAATTTTAATACAAGGAGACAATTTTTTTTTCATGAGGTTTTAGGATTCACCCATACATAAATTTGTGTTTTTATAAAGAATTTCTTTATCATAATCTTTTTTTTTAATTTTTTTGTGAGTCAATATAATATAATCAATTATTTTTTATTTCAATAAATAATTAATGAAAAATATTTTTATTTTAAGTAGAAAAAAATCATTAAAGCTATTGTTCTTTTAATTAAACCCATAGGTGTCTCTTTGATTAAAAAAAAAAAAAAGAGTTTGAGTATGTTTTTTTTTAAAAAAAACTAATTCGGTTTTCGGTGGAAACCGAATTTAAAAAAAAATCAAACCGAACTGAAATAATTTCGATTTGGGTTTTTAAAATTTTTTTTAAAAAACAAACTAAATCGAAATTGTTAATTCAGTTCGATTCGGTTTGATATTTCGGTTTTAATCGAACAGTGGGCACTACTACTCATGGCACTGAATTCAGTTCTGAGCCTCTGCAGGCCCAAATTCAACATAAGGAGAAGCTTTTACGGTTTTACTTTTACCATCATATGAAAATGTGTGAAACATAAAGGGAAATTTTTTTTTCTTACGGTAGATTGTCTAGGAAAAGGAACAGCAAAAAGCGCGCCAATTCAACAAAAATCCCTCCACCACCTCCTCCTCCTCAATCACAACCATAACCACCGCTGCACCATGGGAAAACAAAAACAACAAATCATTTCCCGTTTTTTTGCTCCCAAACCCAAATCCACCACCGCCAGTCCAGCACCATCACCGCCACAAACAGCCCCTTCCTCTTCCTCCTCTCCAAAAATCACAACAACTGCCACCTTCTCTCCATCAAAACGCAAACTTCTCTCTACCCACTTAACTTCCACACCAAAAAGAGTCAAACTTTCACCTCACACGCAAAACCCACTCCCCTCTTTACACCAAAAATTCCTCGACAAACTCCTAGAACCTCAAACCCCACAAAACCCAGTACCTCAAAACCCTCAAAAGTTCACTCCTTTAGAACAACAAGTAGTGGAATTGAAAAAAAAGTACAGTGATGTTCTTTTAATGATTGAAGTTGGTTACAAGTTTCGATTTTTTGGCGAAGATGCTGAGATTGCTGCTAGAGTTTTAGGTATTTATGCACATAAAGATCATAACTTTATGACTGCTAGTATTCCAACTTTTCGATTAAATGTCCATGTGAGAAGGTTAGTTAGTGAAGGTTATAAAGTTGGGGTTGTTAAACAGACTGAAACTGCAGCGATTAAGGCACATGGAGATAATAAAGGTGGGCCTTTTTGCAGAGGGTTATCGGCATTGTATACAAAAGCTACGGTAGAGGCCGCGGAGAATGTGGGAGGGAGCGAGGAGGGGTGTGGTGGTGAGAGTAATTATTTCTGTTGTGTAGTAGATAAGGGTTTAGACTGTGGGGTTGAGGGTGGGGTTTTTGATGTGAGAATTGGGGTTGTTGCGGTGGAGATTTCGACCGGGGATGTTGTTTATGGAGAGTTTGATGATGGGTTTATGAGGAGTGGGCTCGAAGCTTTTGTTTTGAGCTTGGCACCTGCTGAATTGCTTCTTGGTGATCCGCTTTCGAAACAAACTGAAAAGGTAGTTTTAAGTTATGTTAGAATTAGAATGTGGTGTATGCAACAGCCTGAGAAAACTGAAAGAAAGATGTTTTCTTTCAAGTTTGAAATGTGAGATAATTATGCAATTTTTGAATTTATTGTTAAATATGATGCATGGTCTGTTGCTTTAGCTGCATATAATCAGGAGTCAGGCCAACTATTTGTTAAAAATGAACATGGAAAAGACTAACACCATATACCTAAAATTTCATAAAGCAATTAAAAATAAAGTAGTCTGATAGCATGGGCCTGTTTATTATCAGTTGCTACTGGCATATTCTGGACCTTCCTCAAATGTTCGTGTTGAGCGTGTCTCGCGAGATTGTTACAGTGATGGTGGTGCACTTGCTGATGTGATGTCTTTGTATGAGAATATGATTGAAGATAATCTAGGAGATAATGAAAAGCATAGGACCGAGGCTAAAGAACAGGGGTCTTATCACCTGGCAATTGAGGTTTGATATTTCTTAATTTTTTAAATGCAGAGTAAGAATATATTTGCCTTTAGTTAGCCTGTGTTATCTTGCTGAACTTCTCCTTCTTCTTCTCTTTCTTTTTTGGGGTCATGAAGCGAGTAATGAAAATGCCTGATTTGGCTTTGGAAGCATTGGCCTTAACTGTCCGCCACCTAAAACAATTTGGATTTGATAGAATGTTGTGCCTTGGAGCTTCTTTTCGGCCCTTCTCAAGTAACATGGAGATGAACCTTTCAGCCAATACACTCCAGCAATTAGAGGTAATTGACTGTTTAATACAGTCTGAGAAACTATGAAAGTATTTGTTTACTTAACTGCAAGTGGTTGTCATCGAAGGTCCATGGCGCACTCCTACCAGTAACCCGCCTTCCAGGTTTTTGTTATCAACCCATGGCATATGGTGGGGAGGGTTTGTGAAATAAAACTTGCTCCTTCCTGTGAATAATTTTATCTATTGTGTGCTTAAGGTTGAAACATGATCCAGATCCTGAAAGAGAGTGTATTGGGGTCAATTTTTATCATCATTCCACGATTCCATCCTTGGTAGCGTCTGAAAAGGACAATGTTATGGAAAACAGAGAAAGAAATGATTTTTGATGAGTCATAACTAATTGAAGAATCTGAGGAACTTCCTTATAGTTTTTAGGAACTTGGCTACATTCATGTAAATTCAGTTTACGGTGTTTTATAAAACTAATGCATAAACAATCTATTATTAATTATGGAACCTGGATCAGTTTTTAAGTTCATATTTTGCTCATTTAAGTCTTTCTTATTCTCATTTAGACTTTCTTTGTACTGAAAAGATGGAGGTATCACCATGTTCAGGTTTTGAGAAATAACTCAGATGGGTCTGAGTCTGGCTCCTTGCTGCATATCATGAATCGTACTCTTACAATATATGGTTCAAGGCTACTCAGATATTGGGTATGGGCTGTTTTTTATTTGATATATTTTTTCAACCTTGGTTATAGCCACTATGCAATTTTTAAGTTTTATCATGATGCAGGTGACTCACCCTTTATGTGATAGAAACATGATATCTGCTCGTCTTGATGCTGTTTCTGAGATTGCAGAATGCATGGGATCTTATAAAGCCTCTCAGAGTGTAAGTGAGCTTGACAAGGATGATACTGAAGTAGCAATTGTACAACCTGACTTATATTATCTGCTTTCTGCTGTTCTGACTGCTTTGGGAAGATCACCTGATATTGAACGTGGAATAACAAGAATTTTCCATCGGACTGCCACTGCATCTGAGGTAACTAGTGGCTCATGACTTCTCATATATGCTCTCTTATTTATACAATAATTTATCACTAGTTTCTGCTCATGTTCTTAATTATGTACTTTACCCATCTTTCTTCATTGGCATCCCCCATTGTTGTGCTTGTGTGGCTATGGGTGACCGAGGAGCACAAGCTGCATCTCAGATATCCATGCAAGAGTAGTTTTTCATCCCAAAAATTGTTTGTAACAATTTTTCATGCTTACTGCTTCACTGCTGACAGATTTAAACAACTGAATGGCAGTTCATTGCAGTTTTTCAAGCTATATTAGATGCTGGAAAACGACTTCAGAAACTTCACATTCAAGATGATCATAATTATGACAAAGTAGGATCGAAGACTGTGAAGTCAGTTCTTTTGAAAAGATTGATTTTGACTGCATCATCCTCTAGCGTGGTTGGTAATGCTGCCAAGCTATTGTCTACTCTAAACAAAGAAGCAGCTGAACAAGGTGATCTGACAAACTTGATTATTATTTCTGATGACCAATTTCCAGAGGTTTGTACTTTTTCCTGAATTTCTTCACCTTCTGAATTTCATCACCATTGAGAATTATTTAGACTGATTTAAAATCAAAATTCTTCCTGAATCCCTTTCCTATGACTTTTAATCCACAGGTTGCAAGAGCCCGGGAAGCAGTTCAATTGGCGAAGGAGAAATTGGATTCTTTAATTGGTTTGTACCGCAAGCAACTTCGGATGCACAACTTGGAATTCATGAGTGTGTCTGGGACCACACATTTGATAGAGGTAGCCAGTCAAAATATTCTGGGAATAGAGAAATGCATTTTCTTTGTTAAAGAAGCTCATGCAACTTTTTCACATGTATGTATGTTGAATTGGATTTCTAGTAGCATGGAGCTCTTGGATTTTGTTGGTTGTAGAATCCTGTTTTCAGATTAACTTCTTATTCTGTAAAATTGAGAATAAGTTTTTCGAACTGTATGTTTGACATGCACCCAGGCCCTGTTTCCAGTCGCAGAAATGTATTTTTCAGAAGTCAACAACTTGACTATTTGTGTTATCTTATCTACAATAATTTTTGTTTGATAGCTAATTTGATCTAGTTTTGACTGCAGTTGCCCTTAGATTTCAAGGTACCATTAACCTGGGTCAAGGTAAACAGTACTAGGAAAATGATTCGGTATCACCCGCCTGAAGTTTTGACTGCCTTAGACCAGTTATTACTCGCTAATGAGGAGCTCATGGTTGTCTCCCGAGCTGGTTGGGATAACTTGCTTAGGGGGTTTGGTAAATATTATGCTGAGTACCGAGGTGCTGTTCAAGCTCTTGCTGCTTTGGATTGTTTGCTCTCATTTGCTACTCTTTTGAAAAATAAGGTACATCCTTGAAGAATCAAAGAGATTGGTTCAACTTCTGATTAGTTTGATGTTGCGTGACCTTTTTTTTTCTTTCCCTTTTTAATTTATCTTTTGCAGAAGTATGTCCGCCCCATGTTTGTGGATGACAGTGAACCTCTTCAGATAAACATCTGCTCTGGTCGTCATCCTGTATGTATTTTCATGCCAAACCTATTTAATATTCTGTGTCTTGAATTTTTGAGAACTGATATCTTGCTTGTTGAACTTCATCTGTTGTATGTATTATATGATAGGTTTTCAGTTATTGTGAGCTACTTGCTGATTGTTACCTACCTTGACCAGGTCTTGGAGACAATTTTACAAGACAGTTTTGTCCCGAATGATACAAACTTATGTGCAGATAAAGAGTATTGTCAGATTGTTACTGGACCCAATATGGGAGGAAAAAGTTGCTACATTCGCCAAGTTGCCCTTATTGCCTTGATGGCTCAGGTATAATTGCACTCTGCTACATTTTTTTCCTATCTGTGCTGTGTTAGGGCCACTGGCTGGATCCTTTCCGATTGCTATGCACAACCAAAGTTGTGTTCTTTCTTGAACTTGCTTGTACTTCCGTTTGTATTCCCTGAGTACTTCAGTTAACTCCATTTTAAAACTTCATAGTTAATATGCATCTTTTAGGAAATTATCTCCTCACTTTATCTTTTATGAAACCTTGAAGTTTCTGATTGTTAAATTGTTGAAGCCACCCTTTACTCTTTCTTGCTTTTGTTGGACAAAATGAATCTCGAGTGACCGTTTCATTCATAGGTTCCCTCTGATCCCCCTAGGTTGGTTCCTTTGTACCAGCATCGTCAGCAAAACTGCATGTGTTAGATGGCATCTACACCCGAATGGGGGCTTCTGACAATATTCAACAAGGGAGAAGTACCTTTCTAGAAGAGTTGAGTGAGGCTTCTCATATACTCCACAAATGCACAGCACAGTCACTGGTAATCATGGATGAGCTTGGTAGAGGCACAAGCACACATGATGGTGGAGCTATTGCTTATGCTACATTACACCATCTACTGGATCAGAAAAGATGCATGGTCTTATTTGTAACCCACTACCCTAAAATTGCTGAGATAAAAACTGAATTTCCAGTCTCGGTGGGGGCATACCATGTTTCATATTTGACCCCAGAGAAAAAGAAGGGTGCCATTGAGTCAAAATGTGATACTGAAGATGTCACGTACCTTTATAAGCTGGTGCCTGGTGTTTCAGAGAAGAGTTTTGGATTTAAGGTTGCTCAACTTGCTCAGGTAATCTCTTTCTCTAACTCATGCCACCACACAGATAGAATCTGGAGTTTAAGTGAGGTGGTGTAAAATGAAAAGGAAAATTTCCTTGTTAGAGCTAGTTGAATTTTATAAAGTGCGAGTTCAATGATAAAAAAGGGTAGTTTCTATGAAATTTTAGATTTTGGAAGTTCAGTTGGTCACCTTTTATGATTTTGACACTAATATAATAAGTTACATGGGTACTCTTTGTTCCAATGCAGCTACCTCCATCATGTATCAGACGGGCCACTATCATGGCTGCAAGGCTGGAAGTAGTGTTAAGCAGCAGATTGGGAAAAGAAAAGTTGCTGGAAACTCTGCCAATTCATCAACAAGAAGAAGCAGAGGAGATGTTGAGATCTTCCAATGGAAGAATCGATAAGTCTGAAGACTCAAGCAGTGCTTACAGGAAATTCTTTTCAAACTTAAAGTCTGCAATGCTTGATGATGATGCTGCAAAAAGCTCCCGGTTTTTGGAGAATGCAAGGAGCACCGCAAAGGAATTCTTAGCGAAGTAAAGATGGAATGAGCTAACATCAGGGTTTTATTTTTCCTTTTTGCCTACACATTCTCCATTCTTGAAAAATACAACCTCATTTGTCACGCTTGTACCAGATTCAGGGATTCCCCCTGTACCCCGCTTTCTTGGCAACAGCATTGTTCTTGAAATTTTCACTTTGGTCAAGTGCAAGAGCATTGGTAACCAAATAATGCATGTGATGCGGCAACTAGCATTGGCTTGTGGTTTTCTTGATAAATGGGAGATTCTGAGAGTCAGATAGCATGTACAGTACGTGATGCTGCAATTATTGAGTGATGCCATCAGAGTTGAAACTACGAATTCCTTGCATTGTGTTAAAAAGAATTTTGTACATTTTGAAGGTTTTTTTGCAAATTTTTGTATGAGAATTACAAACCGTAATCACATTGGTCATTCCTTTTACATTTTCTGTCTATCTGATATTCTGACATGAAAACAACTAAGGTGTTGGTTAAGGCACTATTCTTTGGCTGTGTTTGCCAAGAGGGATGAATCGAGAAAAGGATGGATAAAAGGATGAATGAGTTACTATATATCTACTTGTTTGGTTGATAGGAGGAGAAGAAGAAGAATCGCTGCTAAGTAATTTCTCGTGAATGCATTGGTCCAAGCGTGGAGGGTTAAAAATTGCCGCCAAGGAATTTCGGTGACTATTGAAATATACAGAAATTTTTCTTCGCCAAATCGGTTCATGTTCAATATCCAATCTCGGATTCACCGGAGCTTCGCTGTTTCACTCTCAGGCTAATCGATGAATTGCTCTATCTACACTGTTGCTGTCTCTGCAATTTGTTTCTGCTCTGTTTTCTTGTGCTTGTCTATGGATTCACGTGGCATGGACAAGTCTCTTGTAATTTGCACGGTTCTCCTTCCTGGACCCCACCTTGCAAATAAAATTCTCCTTCCTGGCCTCGACCTTTTCCGCCCATAGAAATTAATTTATACGAGCACTCCCTTTCTCCCAAATAGCAGCAGGAGTAAAAATTTCACAATTTTCTATAGAATGATGCCCTAGACCTCAACGAAAAGAAAGCTCCTGAAACACGCACCGCCGAAACGAAAACCCTAGCTATCTTTCATCGAGGTAGCCATGAATTTACCAGAGGACATGATCTACCTCGTTCTATGCCGGCTTCCAGTGAAGAGTCTCCTAGGATTCAAGTGCGTCTCCAAGCAATTTTGTTCCATGATCGACAGCGAAAACTTCATCCAATTTCACCTCAGATATTCTGTCGAAAACAACACCGAACCCAGCCTCGTTATTCAAGATAAAAAGAAAATCTGTTCTGTCAACGTCGTTGATTCTCCCACCTGGCAAACCAGGGAGCTTGATGCCCCGTTTGGTTGTTCCAGGACCAAAATCTTGGGTTCTTGCAATGGCTTGATTTGCGTTCTAAAATCCGCCATCTGCAGTGAACCTAATTTGTCGGCTTTGTACAGAACATTGCCTAGGATGTACAACATCTTACCCAAGATTGCCTTCTGGAACCCCTCAACATCGAACAAGTTCCATGTCCTACCGATTGATCCAATCGAAGTTCGAGGACTTAACTACAGCGGCTTCGTTGATGTCCAACATGCTTTCGGACATGATTCTGTCAACAATGACTACAAGGTTTTGAGAATTGTAAAGTTGTATAACGAGCTTGATAGTTTCATCATTAAAGTTAGGGTTTATAGCCTGAAGACTAATTCATGGAGAGAAATTATTGCACCCAGTCAAGCTAATGAGATAATGACTGTAAATCGATATGTTCGACGATATGTGCTGGTACGAGAAGCTTTTCATTGGTTAATCAAAGCACATGAACCAAATATCTGTGCGTTTGATATTCAAGGAGAGGAATTTTGCACTGTGCCATTGCCCAACTTTGGAGTTCCACAGGGTTGTTTCAACATGAATTTGGGTGTCTTGGGACAATGCCTTTGCTTGGCTTCTACTCGTGGCCGCGAGAACATCGTCATGTGGATGATGAAGGAATATGGAAGGAAGGATTCATGGGTTAAATTGTTCTCACTTCCGAGAGATTCTCCAGCAGGCTACGTTCTATATACTGTGCCTTTAGCAGCATATTCGAAGGATGTTCATGACCTTGACCATGAGAAGGTTCTCCTGAAATTAGTGACGCAGTATGGAGAAAAACTTGTACGTTCTGATCGGAAGAACAAAAAATCCGTTGTCAAAATTCTTGGTCTCCAAAGGGAAACTCAACTCTTTACTTATGTTGGAAGCCTTGTCTCTCCCTTCTCCAATGATGGAAGCAAGACTAAAAACAAGAAGAAAAGAAGAAGAGATGAAAACGCCTAGATTATCCCTTAGATTCTGTTGGTCTTTGTTTTTAATCAATTTTTGAATAGCATTGCATGATTGTGGTATGAGTTTTTGGATAATTTAATTTTGTTTTGAATTGCTTAATGCTGGTGGTATAAATTTGTAGTTTTCTTTGTTTCAAAGCCAGTTAGTGTGAATGTTCTATAGACACTCAGCAGATCATTAGATTTCTTAAATTTTGTTAAATTTATTGATGATTTTTGATCTCATATCGGAATCTCTACTCCAGAAGAAGAATCAATAAGCCTGTAGACCTAAACAATCTTTCAGAACATCTATGGTATTTATGGTTTTTGTTCATATCAATCAAGGCCAATCAGGTTTTGGAACTCTGGTGTTCAATGGCAAGATCTCTTCCCAGTTCCCACTCATTCTGCTTGGCCATGATCAGAGATGAACTCGAATCCACGGAGATGAACTTTGACGAGGCTGAGGAAGACAGAGGAAAACAGAGCAACAGGCGATTAAGACAGCACAAGCTTTGTTCTTCAGGCAAACTTCTGAAAAGAAATCCTTCACCATCCACCCATCTCAACACCTCAAGCCTGCAAGAAGATTTCAATGCATCCAGTTGTGAAAGATGAAGGAAATATCAGAATACCTGTTAACACCTTGTTTCACTAAGGAATCAGAAACATAGTTTTAAATAACTCCCGTTATGTTATATAACGATTTTAGAGCATCCCGTTATCGTTATTTTAGTATTATAGTAAGTCGTGATTCGCGATGATGACCGTGATCGTTTTTTCACTCATCCGTTATTTAAAACTATGATCAGAAACCCGGTTTGCTTCCCATAAAACATGACTGAAGAGATTAATCAATTTGTCGATAATTCTGAACTCATAAGGCCTTACAATATTGATCCAAACTACAACATTCATGGAGTCCGATTCAAAGACAAGGGATTGACATATCAGACATGCTCTTTTCCTGCTAGTCTCTACGCATTGGCGTGATGGTTCACAGTGAAAACTGGTCAAACTCTTATGGGAGAGGCTAAGATCCCAAACAAGTGTTGACATTTCGCTTTTGACACTGCAGTTTTTCTAATTAATAGAATGCCTGCACAAATTCTTCTTCAAAACAAATCGCCATTTGAAATTTTGTTTCACCAAAAACCTGATCATGCCTTTCTTAATTTTTTTTGGTGTCTCTGTTTTGTTTCCCATACGAGGCCTTACAATAAGCATAAAATGGATTTTCGCACCATCTCTCGATGTTTTTCTTGATTATAGTCCAAACCACATGGGATATCGATGTTTTGATTTTAACTTCAATTGAATTTTTATTGCCTGTCATGTCCAATTCAATGAATCTGTTTTCCCTTTCGCAAATTCATCCTTCTTTCCTCCAGCACTTGACCTTTTGCCATGGGAGAGTTTTTCAAGCTATGGTTCCATCTCCTGTCAGTCATTCCTCTATAAAAAACCGTAAAGATATTATCAGGACGAAAGAGGTTGCAACAAACTGCATAGATGAAAAGAGCTGTAGCTATAAGAGTTGCAGATACACTCTAATATCAGTGTAAGTCAAAAACTGTGTCGTAATAATGCAATGAGGAATATAGATATAGATAAGTCACTGACATTAAACTTACGGCAGTATGGATTCATGAAATTTTTTTTTTTTGCTCTCTATTCACACAAAGCACTATAACTGTAGAGAAAAACGCAGAAGTATAAGTCTATCCATGATGTCCAGTCTTACCTCCGGACACGATCTTCCTCATACTACACAAGCTTCCAGTGAAAAGTCTTTTAAGATTCAAGTGCATCTCCAAACGTGTTTTCCAGTGATTATTTCATCAAACCCCACCTCAGAAGTTCTGTCAATGGCAAAACCAAACTCAGCTATGTTCTTCAGGATGACGAAAAGGGTATCCTTTCTGTTGCCAGGTTTGCTTGTTCTCAGAGGCAAACAAAAAAAACTTGATAATGCCCCATATGAAGGTTGGGAGACTAAAATCTCGGGCTCTTGCAATGGCTTGATCTGCATTCTAAAATCGGCCTGCTGCATACCTTCTTTGCTAGGAAAAGGAACAGCGTACACAAGATTGCCTTGTAAAACCCATTAATAAAGGAGTACTATATCCTACTGAACGCACCGTTTGTAGTTGCAGGACATGAATACTTTAAAATTGATGCAGTCCAACATGCATTTGGAGAGGATTCAGTCGATGACTACAAGGTTTTGAGAATTGTAAAGCTACATAACAAAATTTGATGGTCTCATCAATGAAGTTAGGGTTTATAGCTTGAAGACTAACTCATGGCAAGCAATTGACCACCTCCTGAACCCGGGGAGGAGTTGTTTGGCAATTTCTCGTTTCCTTCCTTTGCATCTTTGTCATGACTTCCCAATTTCAAAGCTCAAAAAATGGGCAAATGTGCTGCTGCCTTTCGCTTTTACTGCAGCGGGATGCCTATCAAGGGCTCCACCTGACATTACGCTGATAAAGAATTGATCAAGTATCATCTGTAAGCAATCATAAAAATCTTAAAAATTGATCAAGTATCATCTGTAAGCAATTCTTTCTAAACAAAACTTTAGAATTCTTAATATCATATGCCAGAAGCTGTATCTTCTAAAGCAACTAACCAACATCAACACAACAACTTTGACACCCAAGCATGCACAAAAAACTGATGCAGAGTGGTCAAATACTACCAACTGAATCTGAAGAACAAAAAATAACAGAAATTGACAATCATATCAAACCATATGGTAAGGGAGAGAGTCAAACTAATAGGAATTCAAAAACATCAGAAGATACAGTACACTATCTACGCTATTGTCCTCGGATGGTGTATCTCCTGCATTAGTTATATCTAACTGCCGAGCTGCTAAAACTTTTTCAATTCTATATTAACATCGAAATTGAGAAACTTAACATATCATACTGTCGAAGGTTAAAGACTTGATTTCCATTTCTAGCTCTATCCATCTCAGCTCTAAATTGGTGACCACCTTGCAATTGATTCGTCCTGCTGGAGTCCTCAACTCCACATCTCATACACTCTTTCATAAACCTTACAATCCACACCCTCTCACTTCACAAGCAAATCCAGGTGAAGAAAAACATTTTGCCTGCACTGCCTGCAACAAAAAGCTTGGATCGGAATTTCGCTATCACTGTGGCCATTGCAATCTAAACCTGGATATTAGTGCACTTCTCTTATGTACAGCACAAATAAAAATTATGACTTACTTCACCATTTTAGCCACTTCCATCCATTGGTGCGTTCGAACCAGCTTCCGGATAGGGAGTTTTTTTTAACATACTATAAAAATCCTCCCCCACCATGAGCACGCTTGCAACAGATGCAAATTCTTTCTCCTCTCCTCATGTTCTGAGAGAGATCCAACACTCTAATCACCCATTCCTCCTAACTCTCCACATCGATTTTCATTTTGATTTGACTTGGTTTGGGGATGGGAATTGGTATAAGCCTCATTTTGCCTACCAATGTGAGAAATGCAGATTTATTATGGAGAATAAATCAGCTGTATTTCTAACTAACAAATCTTATAAAGATCAAGAGCAATTTCACCATTTCAGCCACAAGCATCCATTGACATTGAGTGAGCAAAAAAACGATGATGATCAAGTTAATTGCTCTGCATGCAGAAAATCCTGTTCAGGTCCAACTTGTTGCTGCACCACATGCCAATACTTCCTCCACCAGCCTTGTTTTGATTTGCCACTGGAAATTCGACACTTCTTTCACCGATGCCCTCTTTTCCTATGCATTCAAGCAAATTCTGTTACATTTTGAGCTTGTAACAAAAGTATTCAGGGCTTCTACTTCGACTGCAAATGGTGCAATTTCAGCATGGATGTTGAATGTGCTCAGTCATCCACAATAGAATTTCTAAGTCGAGAACACTTTTCCCATTTTAGCCACCTACGTCCATTGATGCTCATTGAGATAAAGGATAGTGATCGAGTTTACTGCTCTGATTGTGATAAATGCCTTTCAGACCAAGGATTTGTTTACTCATTGGGAAATCTGTCCAGCGTGTTAAATGAAATTTCTCCTTACGAGGAAGCTTGTTCAAAGGTGCCAATGGATGAAAGTGGCTAAAATGGTGAAGTAAGTCATAATCTTTATTTGTGCTGCACATCAGAGAAGCACATTCAATATCCAGATTTAGATTGCAATGGTGACAGTGGTAGCGAAATTCCAATCCAAGCTTTCTATTGCAGGCAGTGCAGGCAAAATGTTTTTCTTCTTCACCAGGATTTACTTGTAAAGTGAGAGGGTGTGGATGGTAGGGGTTACGAAAATGTCGTGGCAACTCTGTACAAATTCGATGTAGCTGGAGGTCGCATTACATGCAATCACACTTGTACATTGGATCCCCATATGTGAAGCATCCTAGAATTGGACCCTCATGAGCGAAGCATGCTTTACTGAGACCGTCGATCATGGAGGTGTATCTCAACGGATGTGGGTGGCTGAAATGGTTGATAACTAAATACCTGAATTTTCTCTGCCAGAAAAAAAGGAAAAAGGTTGCTTAATTGGTGGGGGCAATGCTTACTGGACACACTATTCAAAATGTTCAAAAGTGTTGGCAAATTTATCATCACAATTCACACGCTATTGAAGCTAAGAAAATAATTCAGCAGACATGAAAATGGAAAAAGGATACCAAATCAAAGATCCAGAGGAGAGGAAAGAAACTGGTAGAATGCAGGCACTAACTATACTTTATAAACATTCAACCATAAAGTTAAGATTGCTAAATAACCTTTCCTTGAATCGTAATGGAAAAGAGAGAAGCTAACCTGATTTAAGGAATCTGTAATCATCTACTGGTCGAAACCCCTTCTCATAAGACCTTGCCGTTAAGCTTTTCTCCATATTTCTGCCTGTAGTTTAGCCAGATGGATTAACAATACAATCTCAATATAATAACCTATCTTTGAATCATTCATCATCATCATCATCATCTCCAGCTTACCACAAAATATGGAAAAGAGAGAGCTAAGCTAACTCAGCCAGCCCTAGAGATCACTGATTCACCACCCTTTCCTTGTTAGCTATTCACTGCAACTTTGTCTGGAATCCATTGGAAATCACGCTGCGTTATTTCTACTTTTTTTTTTTTTCAATTTATTTTTATTCAATTGGGTTTGGTTTGCTAAACCCAAAATTGATTTATACTGGACAGCCCAATAAATTAAAAGAGAAAGGGCCAAGCTCATATTTAATTTAAGCCCAACACCCAATTAAGCTTATATCTTTGACATAAAGCCCAGTATTTAGTCTAAGCCCAATCCTTAGAAGACTATAAAATGGATGCAGTCCAATATGCATTTGGACATGATTCAATCAATAATGACTACAAAGGTTTTGAGAATCGTACAGCTACGTGACAATTTTTGGTGGTCTCATCTATGAAGTTAGGGTTTATAGCTTGAAGACTAATTCGTGGAGAGCAATTGATGCACAAAGTTATATTGAAAATATAAGGAAGATTTCCCGACATTACGTGCTACTTTGAGAAGCTTTTCATTGGCTGTCAAGCCAATAGAGCACATATCGTGAATCAAAAATTTGATCATTTGATATTCAACGAGAAGGGTTTTGCTCAGTGTCAGTGCACCCGGTCATTGTTTTCGGAATCTGGGTGTCTTGAGACAATGGCTTTGCTTAGCTTCTTCTACTTCTATTCGTATTTACATGGAAATATGGGTGATGAAAGAATATGGAACGAAGGATTCATGGGCTAAATTGTTCTTTCTCATCCAACGCACTGATATATTTCCTCTAGCAACATCTTCAGATGATAAAGATGATCATGCCAAGATTCTCCTGGCACTACCACGTGTGAATAAGCTCGTCTGGTATGATCTAAAGAGGGAAGAACGCGATTTTGGTAACAGTCTGAAACTTCCATATAGATCAGACATCTTCAATTTCGTGGAAAGCCTTGTATCTCCCTCCAATGGTGGAAGCTGAATGAATGACGAGAAGCATAGAAGCAAGAATAAAAGAGTTAGAGACCAATAACTACGATTATCCTTTAATTTTTTTTTTCAAACATTTGAATGATATTACAATTCAGCATTAGCATTTTGGTTATGAATTTTTTCCATCCTCAAATTAAAGTCCAATTCGATAATTCATCCCTCTTGGCCCCGTTGTTGTGAAGGACATTGCTATGCAGATTAGGGATGGCCTTCTGCTGTTCTAGATTAAATTGCAAATTCGAAAATGTAACTTCGAGATGTCCCAATTGTTCGGGTAGTGCATGCGTAGCAATTGTAAACTAATTTCGCACCTAAAGCGAGAGCGAAGAACGAGAGGAATTTGTGTTCATCCCGATAGTTGTGTTAAAAAATTAAATAATATGCCTATGCATATAAGCGCGACGGAAGTTAATAGGATACATACCTCCTGCCATGATTGATTAAGTGCTCAAGATATTGCTTGAAAGAAAGTCTGGAGCCGCCGAGGGAGAGAGAGCCTTCTAGTCTATGCCAATACTTTAGGGTTTTGTGTGTTGATGGAAAACACGAGCTTTACTTGCTATTTATATGGCTAGACCGGGGACTCTTTCTTTAACCTAATTTTGCACCTCCATCCATCATGGATGTGCCTAGCCCACAACTAAAGTCCATTGGGCTCTAAGTCTTTAAATAGTCATTTATAGATTTAAAACAAACATGACATATGGGTCACACTATAGAATATTTCTTACATTCTCCCACTTGGCCCATATGACACTAACTAAAAATGACATTTTCTTTATAGAGTCCATAATGATTAGTTAGTGGAAACACTCATACTTAGATTAAGAATGCAATATATGAATCATAGCTGTCATGCTTTCTAACTAAGCACTCCCTTCCATGTATTACAATATATTACATCTTTAAAATAAGCACTTAATGAGCAATAAACTTTATGAATGAACTTCCAATAAGTCATTCGAGTCCAGCTTTATATATCAAAATTAATATAAAACTAATACTTTATTGTGCACAAAAATCACATCAATCTCTAATAACAACTTAAAAAATGTCTAGACAATCAATAAAAGAAAATGAAGTCAAACAATAAATGGGTTAGCTAAACCCATACGATCCACATGATCTCTATACTTGTTTTGCCGACGAGTGCTTTAGTCATAGGATCCGCAATCATTAGATCGATGCTAATATGCTCAATGAGCACTTCATGTTCCTTCACTTTCTCTCTCATAATGAGATACTTTATATCGATATGCTTGTTTCGGCTTCCACTTTTATTATTCTTAGAGAAGAAAACCGCGACCGAATTGTCACAATAAATCTTTACTAGTCTTGATATGGAATCGATAATTTGTAGACCAGAAATGAAGTTTCTTAACCAAATAACTCGTGTCGTTGTTTCATAAGCATGCAATGAATTCCGCTTCCATAGTAGACGAAGCAACAATAGTTTGCTTAGTGCTTCTCAAGATACAGCTCCTCCAACGAGAAGAAAAATATATCCCGAAGTAGACTTTCTTGTGTCTACACAACCAAGCAAAATCGAATCCGAATAACCAACCACCTCAAGGTGATTAGTATGCTCGTAAGTCGACTCTATAATTCTTGGTTCCTTGTAAGATGTCTCATGACTTTCTTAGCAGCTTTCCAATGGTCCATTCCGGGATTGCTTTGGAACCTACCTAGCATTCCTACCGTAAATGCCAAGTCGAGTCTTGTACAAACTCGTGCATACATCAAACTCCCTACTGCGGATGCATAAGGAATGTTACTCATCCGCTCCCTTTCCAATGCATTTTGTGGACATTGATTCGGATTGAATTTATCCCCTTTGACAATGGGTGCTACCGAAGATGCACAATTTGACATCCCGAATCTTTCCAAGACTTTTTCAATGTAGGCCTTTTGAGACAGTTCTAATATTTTTTGAGATCCGTCTCTGTGAATCTCTATGCCAATGACATAAGAGGCTTCACCTAAATCCTTCATATCAAAGTTTTGAGAAAGAAATTGCTTAGTCTCATGAAGCAAACCCAAGTCACTACATGCAAGCAAAATATCATCTACATATAGGACAAGAAAAATATATTTGCTCCCACTAACTTTAAGGTATATGCATTAATCAACAATGTTCTCAATAAAACCATACGAGGTAATAACATTGTGAAACTTGATATACCACCTGTCGGGAGGCTTGCTTTAGCCCATATATAGACCTTTTTAGCTTACAAACCAAGTGGTTATTTGTATCATCACAAAAACCTTCGAGCTGATTCATGTATACTTCTTCATCCAAATTTTCATTTAAAAATGTTGTTTTCACATCCATTTGATGTAGCTCCAAATCAAAATGAGCTACTAATGCCATTATTATTCCGAATGAATCCTTTTTAGAGACTCGGAGAAAAAGTCTCATGATAGTCTATGCGTTCTTTTTGGGTATAACCCTTAGCCACAAGTCTAGCTTTATATCGTTCGATATTACCGTAAGAATCTCTCTTGGTTTTATAAACCCATTTGCAACCAACGGCTATAGATCCTTTTGGTAATTTGACAAGGTCCCAAACTTGATTTTTATGCATTGACTCTATTTCTTCTTTCATGGCATTATACCATAAATTGGAGTTTTCTCCATTCATGGCTTGTGAAAACGAGTTTGGATCATTCTTAAGTCCAACATCAAAGTCGGACTCTTGAAGGTATACAACATAGTCATTAGAAATTGCTAGTCTCCTTACTCTTGAAGATCTTCTTAATTCAACATCTTCATGTGGGTTTGGCTCATCAAGAACTAGTTGCTCTTGAACTTGTTGTTCGAGGAATTGGTTGTTATTCAACATTATCTAATTGACTTTCTTGAACAATAACCAATTGTCTTTTATCCTTATGCAACACAGTTGAATCTTGTGTTTCCTCAAATTCTATTCTTCGAGGAAAATCACTCCCATTAAGGTTAAGATCCTCAAGAAATTTAGCATTTCTTGCCTCTACTATTCTTGTACTATGAGAAGGACAATAAAACCTATATCCTTTAGAGTTTACCGCATAACCAATGAAATATCCACTGGTTGTTCTAGTGGTCTAATTTCTTTAATTGAGGATTATAAATCCTTACCTCAACAGGACAACCCTATATATGTGTATGATTTAAACTAGGTTTCCATCCATTCCATAATTCAAAAGGTGTCTTAGAGACGACCTTGGATGGAACCTCGTTTAGAATATATACGAGCAGTCTTTAATGCTTCACTCCATAAGGATAATGGTAAATTAGAACTAATCATGCTTCTAACCATGTTCATGAGAGTACGGTTCCTTCTCTCGGCTACACCGTTTTGTTGTGGTATGCCGGGCATTGTATATTGTGCAATAATGCCCTCTCCTTCAAGGAACTTTGCAAATGGACTCGGCATTTATCCTTTTTCGGTGTATCTACCATAATACTCTCCACCTCTATCGGACCTCACAATCTTAATGGTCTTTTCCTTTTATTTCTCTACCTCAACCTTAAAGGTCCGAAAAGCATCAAGTGCTTCGACCTTATCGTGTAAAAGATAAAGATACATGAATCTAGAATGGTCATCAATGAATGAGATAAAATATCTCCGACCATTTAGGCAAGGAGTATTAAACGGTCCACATATGTCGGTGTGTATGATTTCTAAAATTTCGAGCTCCTCGTGGCACCTTTAAGTGGTCTTGTTAGTTTGCTTTCCCTTTATGCAATCCGCACAAGTACCAAAATAAGTAAAATCAAGAGCATTTAAAACTCCATCATTCACCAATCTCTTAATTCTTTCAATGGAGATGTGACCTAATCTCCTATGCCACAATGTGGAGGAATTCTCATCAATTTTGCTCCTTTTAATACTCGTATTAACATGCATTGATAAATAGTTGAGCTCAAAAGTGGAGTCTAGATCAATTTTATATAAACCATCAATTAATGTTTCACCACCAATAGAGATTTTATTTTTTAAAATACTAAAAATGTTTTCATTAAATAAAAATCCATAGCCAATACTACATAGTCCGGAAACCGAAATCAAATTTTTAGAAAATGATGGAACATAAAAAACATTTTCCAAATCCAAAATAAATCCAGATTTTAAAATTAATCTAAAAGTCCCTACAGACTTCAACTTTAGAGCGCATCCGATTTCCCGAATATATGTCTTCTTCATTTCCTTTCGGCTTCCTTAGGTCCGAGAAAGCCTCGCATGGTGTTCACAATATGGATTGTAGAACCGGAATCAATCCACTATGTATTATTAGGAGTCTCAATAAAAAAAGATTCATGACACACTAAAGAGATGAGTTTACCTTTCTTCACGAGTCACCTTTGATACTTAGGGTAATCTTTCTTAACATGTCCCCCTTTCTTGCGAAGAAACATTTATGTTATTGCCATTTTGCTTTATAGGCATATGTTCATGTTTCTTCACTTTTAGAACATTTTTACCCTTCTTGAAATTTCCTTTAGCTTGAGAAACCAAATGAGCACTTTCGGGTTTCTCAAGTTTCAATCTCCCTTCTTCTGAACACATAAGGTCAATAATTCATTAATTGACCATTTTTCCTTATGTGTGTTATAAGAAATCTTAAACGGACCATATTCCGCAGGGAGAGAGTTCAAAATGAAATGTACCAAGAATGACTCGGAAATCTCTACCTCTAAGGACTTGAATTGAGCGACGGTTGTCCCTCATTTCCATAATGTGCTCGCGCACTCCTTTAGAATAGTAAAATGACTTGTCGAAAGCTTTTTCATTAGGGTGTCGGCTAATGCCTTATCGAATGAACAAATTGTTCTTCTATGGCCTTCAGGAAATCTTTTGCCTTAGAGCATTCGGGGATTGAACCCCTAATACTCTTATTTATGCGAGACTTTATGAGCATTAAACTTAAGCGATTAGATCGCTCCCACCGCTCATAATTAGTCTTTTCCTGTGCATCACTTGAATCCATGGGGATGGGTGGTTCATCCACACGTAGGGCCAAATCCAAATCCACACACCCCAATGCAAAGAGAATATTTTCTTTCCAATCACCAAAATTATCACCACATAGTATTGGAATACTAGATGTATCAATAAAAGCGAGTAGGAAAAGCCGCAATAACCAAGAAAAGACTTTAATACTATGAAAAAACATATTTTATTTAAATTAACCAATGTCAATTTAATAGTAAATTCTAACCTTCCCGTGGGTAGAGGTTGCATCATGCATATAATTCACTAATTCTTTAATAATAAGACTAATAAATAAAATATCAAGAATAAAAAATATTCACACCTAAGGGCCTAGAATAAAATCCATTCTTAATATTAATTTATTATCTTATTCCAATTAAATCATAAAAATAACAACCTCCATGTAGGGCCAAGTCATTATTATTTTTTTTTATAAAATAATTGCAAATTAAGCTATGTGCTTTATGAGCATATTATTTTAATAAACTTTAATGTGATCATCAAAATAACTTAAAGATGTTGTGGCTATTCCTAAGTTAATTGACATCACCATCTCAATATAGCATGCTTTAATATCAACTCATAACTCTACGTTGACATATCAAAATAATAATAATAAATTAAAATTGTTTACAAGCAAACTTTCTGGCAATTTTTAATTTATGTCTTTCATATATATATATATATATAAGCACCAGAGTGATGAGGGAAAGAAAAAACCCATTTGAAATCAAATGGAAGCAAGTGTACTATTGAAGTACAGAAGACGTGATATAATATATGTATATATAACTAGACATGACTTAGGCGGCCATTCCTTATGCATGCATGTATATGCTGTATTAGTTTGTTATCATTATTTTAATCTAACGAAAGGAAACAATGCCGAATGATATATACTTATGCATATGAGATGATATTTGGCGTGACTAACTTTTGTACACTAGCTAAGCACATGGTGTGCTGTTACACCATCAATTATCAGCACCTCTCCTCCAAGTTTCAGGAAGAAAGAAAAAATATCACGGATCAATTACGCATATTTGTTTTAATGATTTCTACCGTGATTTTTTTTTACCCGATTAGTGACAAGAAAAATAATATAATTTAAAATACCCATATTGCATACTTAATCTCACATCCATTAAATAATCATAATATGTATTCATTAAATACAATTGATGGATTTCTATTAACACTAATCAATATAGCGAGAAAGAGGCTCGATACCACATGTTAAAAAATTAAATAATATGCCTATGCATATAAGCGCAACGGAAGTTAATAGGATACATACCTCCTGTCATGATTGATTAAGTGCTCGAGATATTCGTTGAAAGAAAGTCTGGAGTCACCAAGGGGAGAGAGAGCCTTCTAGTCTATGCCAATACTTTAGGGTTTTGTGTGTTGATGAAAAACACAGGCTTTACTTACTATTTATATGACTAGACCAGGGACTCTTTCTTTAACCTAATTTTACACCTCCATCCATCATGGATGTGCCTAGCCCACTACTAAAGTCTATTGGGCTCTAAATCTTTAAATAATCATTTATAGATTTAAAACAAACATGACATACGTGCCACGCTATAGAATATTTCTTACAAGCTGTTGATGAGAACAAGAGCATGGCAATCTGTCTAAGCACCTTAGAGACAAATCAGAACCAACCAAAAGAGCATCCCAGATCTCTAAGCAATCGGCAAATTAACAAGTGGATCTATAAAAAGTTCAAAAACTATCCTTAATCTACTGCTTGTCCAAGGTCTAATATGGCTTACCTTGGTGTTTCACACATTCTTCTAAGTTTGAACAGACTCCATCAAGAAGAGAACAAACAAGATTACGTTTCGTGCTAAGCAGAAGACTGAAACAGAGAAAGAGTGCAGTGGAACTACATCATGCAAAGTTCTAAAATCTTCTTATTTGATCCTTAACTTTTAATTTTTTTTCCCCATAGTAGTTAAGCATTTGTCTCCAAAAATAATATATTTGCTCTACAAACTTTCTGATGTCAAATGCTATATATTGTCATATTTCTAAAGCAACAAACCAGCATCAACACAACACCTTTATCATATATTTGTTGAAAATCCATGGAGAAGTATATACAAAGGGATAAGTAAGGTCCGAGATGAACACACAGCAAATTAAAGCACACCTGCACCTGCAAGCCACCACTTTAGGGTCTCAGCTTCTTCCAAACTGTCCTCTATTAATCTGGATTTTTTTGAAGATTCTAGAGACTTTACACACTCATTTTTCAGCTTTAGTGCCTCTAGTTTGCTTGTTAATTCCTCAATGTCTGTTGAAACCTCTACGATTTTCTCATCAACTTTTGCTGCAGTATTTTCTACCTTTTCTCTAACCCGAAGACCAAAGTAGGGATGTTGTAGAATGGGAGCCAAAGTCTGAGTGACCTTGTTATCTCCTACATCTACAACCTCATCTTTTCCTTCCCAAAGTGTCAAGGAAGAGCAATGGCTACTAGAATCAAGCTTCTCCATAAAATTTGCATAAGCTTCATCCAAGAATTGGGAAACTCTTTTGCCATCACCATTTTCTCTGTGGTCAGTGGATAATATCTCTTTAATCATACATATGCTCCTTCCGAGAGCTAGTGAATCGCTATTGAGTTTCATGTGGTCATCACCAGTGATTTTGCTATGCTCATGAGATGACGTGTCTCCGTCCTCAATCTCATCATCACCATTGACTTGAAACTTTAAACTAATGATGTTAATTTATTATTATTATTTTTTAATTTCATCTTTTTACCTTTTTTTTTTTTTGATAGGCAGAGAGTAATAAATAATACGTGGCAATTGACCGCAAGTTTAGAGAAAATTCTTAAACTGGATAAGATCAAAATCAGTCAAAAAGGAATAGTAAATTCAAATATACCAAAACCAATAAAACCTCGCCACGGCATCAAATCGGAAGGACTCCTAGACTTAACATGGACGACACGCGCATTTCGTTTGGATTGTCCTAACCACTCGTGACTTGGCCTTTGGCCTTTCCGTGGATGCCACACTCTCGCTTACCTTCCATATCTAGCTGACGTGCCACCGTTATTTAAATCCCACGTGGACAATAAATGCCACAAACGACAAATAAGAGCACGTGCCCGCATCGCGCGTCTGGGTACAAAGCAGCCAAAAGGCCGATGCTCTCCACGCGCCTTCCTGCGTGCTCTAATGTGCCGCCACACATACGCGCAGAGACCTGTCTCACCCTTGACCCATTTTAATGTCTTATTATTAATTAATTAATCCGAACAAATCTTACAGATTGCTCAAACTTCTCTTACAGCCAACATTGTTCATCAATCAAGGAATCGGAAAGCTGTCTTTTTGTTTTGTTTTTTTTTAATCATTCTGGGGTTGTTTCGGCTCCGAATTTGAGGTATAAGGCTTTGAATTCTCTCTGGTTATTCATAATTTTCATCTGGGGTTCTCGTGTTTGATTTGGTTTTATTTTTTTAAAGCAGAATTGGAAAATGAGAATGGAATCTGAATTGGGTTTTTTATTTTTTATTTTTTGGGTGAGAAATCACTTGAAAAGGAGGGAACTTTGTTTTTCTTTTGGTTCCTTTTCTGTTTTGTTTTTCTAATTGGGTTTTTGCTATTTTCTTTTGCAGATTTTGTTTACTGAGAGGAGCATGGGTTCAGAGCTGAATGTAAGAGTGGAGGAGGTGACTGAAAATCGGTAGGTTTTTGTAAATTTGTAGTGTAATGCAAATCACAATCAGTTTTTGAAAATTTTCGTTTTCTGGTAAATGAAATTAATGGTGTTTGTGGTGTGGCACAGGTGCTTGCCTGCTGAGAAGAGTAAGAGGAAAGTTCCGAAAAGAATTCACAAGGCTGAGAGGGAGAAACTGAAGCGTGAGAAATTGAATGATCTCTTTGATGAGTTGGCCTCTGCTCTTGGTAAGTTTCTTTTCAATGGGAACTTTTAATTTCTGTAGCCATGGAAAATTGAATGAATCTTGAAGAACTTCTATTTCTTGAACAGAATTGAGTGAGCCAAATACTGGAAAGGCTTCTATACTGTGCGAAACGACTCGACTATTAAAGGACTTGCTTACACAGATAGACTCTCTCAAGAAGGAAAATGTAGCTCTCTTATCTGAATCTCACTATGTAACTGTTGAGAAGAATGAGCTGAGGGAGGAGAATTCTGCCTTAGAAGATCAAATTGGGCAGTTGCAGGGTGAACTGGAAACGAGAGTGGCTGGGCAACCACAAACTGACCTAAATGTGCCTCCTCCTGAATATCAGCAACCATCACATTTTCCAGGAGACTCGTTCAGGTTGCCTGGTGTCGATGCCGCTGCTGCTGCATTGCAGCAGACGCCGGCTGTCTTTGTGGTTCCAATCCATCCTGATCATGTGCAAGGTTTTCCAATGACTACATCGAATGTGAGGAAACCTCACGCTAGATACCCAACTGGGGCTGATTCTTGGGCTTCTCAACTTCTTAGGGAGCAGCAAATTGCTAGGAAGGAAGTTCAGTTTAGTGGTAGAGATAGCAGTATCTGTAATCCTGGGGAATGAGGCCAGCCAATCCCTAACTTGTAAAAACGTGCTGAAGTGCAGTAATCTATATTAGACTACTAGACTCATTGTCAATGACCTTTTGTACAGTTGCATATGATTTGATTTGTTTGTTTAGTTTCTCCTATTTTTCTCTTGTTTTGTTACTTTCACTTGGTAGTATTTGACCACTTTGCATCAGTTTTTTCTGCGTACTATATTGCCTGGTTACTTTAGAAATATGACATTTTACAGCCATTACACCTGATGTTCAGGGTTCTGAAGTTCAGATGAATTGCTTACAGATGATGATCAGACTCTTCATCATCCATTGTAAAACCTGGCACCAAAAGGTATGGCCATATCAGATTGTTTGAATTACAAGACAATTCAACAATCATGTGTCGATAATGTTTTTTGCGTGGATATTTTATGTTTCTTCGCAAATGCTTAGTGGGTGGTGGTATCTCTAGTTTTCTTCATGTCAAGGCCAGCCAGTATATGTCTCAAGTTCTAGTGATAACTGTCCAAATGTTTTTGAGAAATAACATGCCAGCAAGCATAGCAAGAGCTGTTATTTTAAACCATGGGTGATGTTGCATTATGCATTCTAGATAGTTCAGACACTTATAATGGATAATGAGCTAGATGAACATGTGAAGGCAATGAATGAGATCCGATTCTGTTTTCATGATGATCGTCCCTCATGGTACTGTTGCCTTCTCTGAAGACATTGAATGAGAATTATAGTTTAAATAACGACTATCATGTAAAGGTTTCAGAATTTCTCAAGTATCGTTATTTTTTTAGTATTATAGTAAACCAAAATTCACGATAATGACCGTGATCCCTTTTTCAACTGTCTGTGTGATTTAAAACTATGATGAGGACAACCTTCTACAGACAACTTCAATATTGTATTAGATTAACCTAGAATCTCTTCATTTTTCTGTTCCCAGCTCTAAGCATGTCTAGCATGACGTTTTTGAGTTACTTGAACCTATCATACAGAAAACATGACTGGAAAAAATCCCTTAAAGCACGCAACTACTACAGAGTTTTGATGTCTACAGCTTTCCTGGATACCAACTATGAACCCCAACTTGCAGAAAACTACACTAAATGCACTCTCAGTTCTCGGAGAGCTTGAGGTACAAATTTGAGGATTCTGATAGCAATGATCAATCGAATCTACTCGATGTTTATTGCAAGATCAAGCCTCAGTTCAGGGAGGCTTTTAAATTTTAGTGACCTCTCTCAGCATGGTGTTCGGGAACAATAGAGACCTTAAAATGGAAAGAAAATGATTTACATATTTATTTTTCTTTTTTCTTTTTTTTGCAAAAAAAAAAACCTATAAATATTTATAAACAAAAGGCCAGTGAGCTGATTGAAACCCTGTTTAGCTTTTGTTTATTCCATAAATAAATAGATAAGTAAGAGTTCTGGAAATGACCAAAATGCCATTTAGCTTTGGTTTATTTTACAAAGCCGAAGGAATATTTCGTCTTTTAATTAGAGTTAAAAATAACTTAGTCACGCAGTTCAACAAAATTAATTAATTATTCCTCATTGTGAAAATTATTATTTAATTTCTACATTTTTAAATCCGTTTAGAACTTCGTCAATCCAATGCCTTTTTCAATCATATTTTTTTTTTCATTTAAAAAAATAGAGAAAGGAAAAGAGAAGAGTGAAGATGAGAAAATTGAATTAGGAAAGAAGGTATTTTTGAAAAAAAAAAAAAAAAGACGTACTAATTATGGACTATCAATGTTAATTAAGGAATTATTTAATAATTTTTTATACTGTAGAGATTAATTCATTAATTATTATAAACTACAGGGACTAAGAAACAATAACTCCTCCAATCAAAATTGTTTTATATAATTTGTGACTTTCACTTTTTTTTTTTTTTTTTTTTCCAGCTGTAGCCTCATTTCTCTGAGCAGCTGCCTCTAGCATTTTAAGACCAACATCATGGGCAATTGTGAACTTGCTGCATGAAAATGAAAGGGAAAAGAAAAAGGAAGAGGCAAGGAAAGACAACTGATGGAAGATTCACTTCTATTACTAAGTCAAATTTACAATAGAATCACCTCATTACAAGCTAATCTTCCCTAATGGTCTATGACATACCATCCCTAATACTAGCTAGAAAAAGTCTAAGCTCTCTTGCCTTCCTTAAATGTTCAGGAGACCTTTCGTTTTCTGATTCACTCAAATCTATCACATCAGTATGTTGATCATTCACTCGCTGACATCTTGAAACAGTACGAGTCTGTATTACGGGAGATGGGCTCAAGAGATCAATGACCTCATGCACACTTGCATCAGAAGGCACGGCAACTCTGCAAACAGCTGGATTACTTTCTGACTCAGGATTAGGTGGATCTTGTTTCGCAAAATTAACGGTAGTTGCAGTAATCCTATCTTCTGATATTGCCGATTTTGATGACAAGGAGGTGCCACAAGCAGTATTGCTTCCTGATTCAATGTCAAGCAACAAAGTTTGGAGTTTTAAATCAATTTCGGCCATAGCAGGCCTATCTTCTGATTTCTTCGATCTAGGTTTCCGTTGATTTTGTTTCTTTCCCAAAGCTCTTTTCTCCTCAAACTCTGTAATCTTTTCCGGACAAGCACTAGAGATAAAGAAAGACGAAAAAATTAATCTCCTTAATGGTATAGAGAATGCTATTAAAAAAATAAAGATGATTAAGAAGAGTTATGCACCAAGCAGTTCAGACAGAAGACCGAAAACCCATATTAAAGGTTCGTGGATTAGTTTCTGTGTATTATTAATCATGAACGGTTTTAAAACCTTTTTCTATTAAATACAAGGTGCCATAAAGAAAGTTGATAGCGATAATAAATTACCTCACTAAGAGATCTGCTGGAACTATAGAGGTTTTAAGTCCATCAAACCCTTCCCACAACACCTCAAAGCATTCTGTTCCCTGAACCTTTCTGTGTTTAACAACTCCAGATACAGGGCACTTAATTGGTATCTGCAATTCAGAAGGTTTTGCTATTTGTATATAAGTGATATTGAAGTAAGATTCAGATTAGACACTGACGACATTGTACATAACAACATGATACAACAAACTGTGATAATAATGTATTATCATATTTCCATCAATCATGTTTTGACTATAAAATCACAGTACATGGAAGTGATTACGTTATACATGATGTCTAAGAATTAGAATAAACTTGTTTCTATAATATTTAAACAAATGTATTTGATCTTTGGCATTTCATCACTACCTTGTGCAGAGGAGGATTAATTCCTAGCTCTGAGGAAGTTGATCGTAGATTGGCAAACCTCCGCAAGTCTCTTTCAGCAATTTTTGGAAGCGTGTACTCATCTAAGACAATAGCATCAACAAAAGCAGCTTAAATACCGCATTTCCCAGCTGAGAAGAGCCAGGGAGAAGCAGAAGAATGCAAACAATGAACAAATAACTGACATCAGCTATGCAGAGTTGCAGATATCACTACATAATCCGAGGGACGGCATGTATGTAAATAGGACATAGTGTGTGATGCTCCCAAATCCATATATCCGGTATCCCTCTTCCCCACCAGATTTAAAGTTAAGAACTTCACAAAATCTGTGTCGATTTGAACAAATGCAGTAATTAATGAACTAGCTTCCATGAAACAAAATCAGCCACATTTCAATTTGTCATCAAGACAATAAGCCAGCACTTGTACACCATATAGCCACAGGGGACACATTTTAAATAAGAAAAGTTTTAAATTTTGCTGCTGAGCCATTACATTTCATAAGACTTGACCCAGACATCCAAATGGTGCTAGCATAATAAGAATCTTGCATCTACATGCAACCGGGTAGCAAGGCAGATGACGAATAAATAGACATGGGAGTAAGTGACTGTGCCAGTCAACTAAGGAGAGAAGGAAGGACCTGTTTTCGCTGGAGGCCACCCAAAGAACTGAGCACATATCTCTTGAAGTTTCAGATGTTGAAATGGATGCTGAGAAAGAACCCTGCCAAGATAAGGTAATTCATAAGCAAGCTTACAACAATAGGAAGGTGATTGAGAAGCCCAATTACTTGGCCACCACAGAGTAAATTTACAAGTTTTTACATACTGCTTTTTGGAGGCTCGAGTTTATTAAAGAAGACAACTGAGGGTGCCTTGAGAGCAACAGGAGGCTCATGCAATAACTTGCGCGAGTACTAAAAACAACTGAAATGATGCAAACAACTTACCTATAGATTGCATCAGAATCTGCTGGGTGGCATTTGGGCTTCAGATATGCATCAATCACTTGCAAGCACTCGTTCTTCCTTTCAGAATTGTTATCACTTCCTACCACAAGCATAAAAGTGTTTTACAACAAAGTAAGCTGCATCCTTCCACCTGATAAAATCACACTATTTTGACCTCCTAATTTCAATGAAAAATTAGTCATTTGATCTCGGATGCCACAATAAAAATATGTTCATGTCACCAATCTAGATAATCTTAAATAAATAATATGATACTTAAAACTGAAAGTATGAAACTCAATCATACAAAAATCCATCCAGATCAGATGGAAATAGTAACATCTAGTATGTTGCTTTATCAGAATTTACGAGTCTCAAACTATATCGTAATTCTAGAGACTATCCCTGGCTCCTTATCTAGATCTAGTTCTGAGTTATTATATTTACTTCAAGCATGAATTTATCAAGTACACTTGCAGATCATGGCAATAAAAAATAACTGTAGAAAGGTTCACTATTTACCATACACATGCATCCCTGGATCCAGAGAGTTTGTTTTTAAATCGTGCATCTGCTTCTTTGAAGTTTTTTTCTTCTTTGCAAAGGACAGTCCCTCGGACAAAATTTTTTGAAGGACATTACTATCTCCAATTGACTTGACAATCTGGCATGCTGACTCCTGAAGGCAGGGGAAAACAGTGGAAACATTTGATTAGCTATTTGTGCTAGATAATTGGTAGGAATTTGGGAAAAAGTGATATGAGTTATCAAAAATAAAAAATAAAAAACAAAAATAAACAGAATAATCAAACGTACTGGACCCAGGCCACGAACTCCGGGAGAGTAATCACTTCCAAGAATAAGGGCTAGCATAATCTGGAAAAACATAAATGAGTTAAGAAACTTTTGCTCAGCTCAGCTGAGAAACAAATCAAATAAATTGTCAATGAGGCACAATTTATTATTGCCAAGAAACCAGGACAGGATAACAAAAACCGAACTATACATGGGTCTCTTTCTCTGTGTCTCTCTCCCTCACCATATGGCCTCAAACATATTGAACTGAGGAATAATAAATCCAAGAAATTAACTTGAGAGCAGGGTAAAACTATTTTCATCAGAGTCCAATGCCTATCAATGAAGTTGAAACCTTTACCTTGAAGGAGCCACAAACCACCATCATAAATGAACTCATTGGCCAAGGATGCATGTTACACAGAATACACTCAATGCAACAGTAACAAGGTCTACCATTAGAAATCAATATACTTCATCTGTTGTTGAGAAAAACTAGGAAATTACCAAAGAGTTCCTTCCAAAACCAAGTTTTCTTTCTATGTCTTCCATTTCATAACAAACAACATGTCCTTCTCCTAATTCAACATAAATGGTCAGCAGTGTTAATACTCAATTGAAAGCCAAAAATTAAACAGCTCAAAAGTGAAACTGTCGAAGAGTCACTATCCACCCACCAAGGCATATGTCTCTGTACACAGTCCTTGCACCAAAAAGGAAGACATCTGAATCTGAGCTGAAGCAGCCATCCTGATAATCATTATCATAACGATGAGAACATTGGCAAGTATTCCTAAATCCGAACAAAAAAGAGTATAAATTTTTACTTACACACAATGATTCTGAGTTTAACAATGCACATTGTGCTTCAGCTTCCTCAATGCTGCATTTGGAAAGAGAGAAGACAAAAAGCATATTACTGTTCGGACCTCTAATATTGCTTCCTACAGAGTTGGGGAAAAAAAGAAAAAGAAACAACCAAACTGTGCCAAAATTACCTATCCAAGCAAGGGATCCCAAGGGCTAATCCAATGTCTTTTGCTTCTTTAATCATGCAGGAGAACTCTGATCCCATGTTTCTCTGAAGTGAGCATGGTTTTTGCGACTTTCTTTCATCCGGGGTGACCTATAGCATGGAGAAACCCTTTCAATTCAAGAACCCAACGATTTTTTTTTTTTAAGAAAAGAAAACATAAAAGTTACATCCACCTGCATACACAAGTCAAAGAATCGAACATGGCAAAGTGACAGTTGCCTACCTCAAGTTCTAAATTCAAGCGCCGACGGTAAGTGGCTAGTTTGATAGCAGGGATTGATCCATCTACCAGAGAACAATACAACAAAGCTTACACAGTTCAAAATTCTTAAGACTAGTAAAACACACACTCTTTAAATTCACAAACAATCAACAGCAAATGAGATACTAAATATTTATAGGTGACTCATTAACTGCTTTAATCATAATTAAAATTTAACCAGTACTCATTTTCATCAGAAATTAAATGCCAATTCCCATTATGAAAACAAAATCACACCTTTAGACTAAAATTGAACACCCCATTTTATTTCACGAAAATTAAAGACCCCATTTTTAAACTTGACTGAAAAAATTCATATAAAATAAAAGGAACCCACTTAAAAAAAAGAAGAGAAGAATACATACCGGCAACAAAAATAAGGCTGCAATTCAAAGCAATGAGAGCTCTTAGGCGATGAAACAGACTCCTAAGGTAAGGCTTGTCTTTAACCAATCCATAGTGTGTTTTGTTTACATTTTGAAGTTGAACCATCCAACAAGACAGATCTATGCACACCCTCTTGTTCCTAAAACACCACAAAAACAAGAAATTCAAAAAAAAAAAAAAATTGTAGTCTTTTTGGCTGCCAAGGAAATATAAAAGCAAAGGGAAAGAAAGATGGAAACTTTACTGGAGATGGTGAAGCGGCACGATCTTTTTGCATGATTCTAAGATGTCCCATAAATTCTTCACTCCCATGTCTCTCTGAATGTTTGGAGAGAGATCCGTTAAAGAGGGAAAATGTGGGCTTTGGGTTTTATTTCAAAAACACCAACTTTACTTTCTGCGTATTTACTCACTATAGTCCTGTACTGGATTTTTATCTGCTTCTTTGCAATCTGCAAGGAAGGAGAGAGAAAATTAAAACAATTAAGCCTACCTAAAAATGTTTTTTTTTTTTTTTTTTCAGTTTTTAAGGATCCAAATGTAATTTTCTTTTTCAATTTTTGTTATACTCAGAGAATAAATATTAATAATTACTCCTTTAAGCATTTTAAAATTTCTTATTTTTAATGTTTCATTTATATTTTTTGATTAATCAGACTCATTAAAAGAAAAATTCAATTCAAAATTTCGGTTTTCAGTATTTCAATAATAGCAAAAAAATAAATAAATAATCAAATTTTTTATTTTTTAAATAATATAAATAGACTAAAAAATTGTATTATAAACTTTAAAGCTCTTTTTCTAGCTCAAATGGTCTAAAATTAACCCATATATAAGATAATAAATATTTGCTTAAATAAAACTAAAGGATAAAACCATATTACATAATAAATTATCAAAATTTAAATACAAGTATATTAATTCACATAATATACAATAATAAAAAACCATTAATTGTTTAAATTTATTGTAAACCGAACTACTAAAGTTCAAATAATAATCAAATTTTTTTTAAAAAATAAAAAATTATATTATATAATTAAAAAAATGAAATATAAATTTTAAAAATAAATCAAAAACTGAATAACCAAAATCAATTTAGTTTCAGTTTTTTTTTTTTTTAACCCAACTTAATTAAAAACTAAACCGAATTAATATTTTGATTTCGATTTGGTTACATTAATTGGTTTTAACCAAATACTACTCATCCTTAGAGAAAACAGAGTAACTATCCAAATGGCATTTCATTTGGGCTGAGAATATAAATCTGATCTTTTAGTCCATGTTGCCATTTCTTCATCATCTTCTCCTTTATTTTTTATCTTTTTGGCTGGAGAGCGAGGAATATCCATCTGGTGCATTCTAAGAAATACATTTTCCTAACTTAATGAACTTAAAAGGAGGAGAAAACCTGCTAGACCACTCTGCATACCTCTTGACATTTGCTATTTCTTATCATTAAAGTTGATGTGAAACGAAGAAAATTTTTGAAGTTGCTTTACCTAAATTCTGAAAGCAAAGATGATTGTCTCCTTAGTAAAGTTCATGCAAACGATATAAAATTGCAGCCACCAAAGAAAGGTGGTGTCGTTTTTAAAGTTGATGTGAAGAAGAGAAAAATAAACAAATCAACAAAGTTGGTAATGTGCATGAAGTTAACAAGGGCTCTCAGCTTTTCTGGATACTTAAAATATTGAAAAATCTTGTAGTGGGAAGTAAATGATTGAGGGTGAGAAGCAAGTGATACAGGATGGAACCCAAAGTTCAAAGTCTTCTAACTCATTTTCGAACAGGTCATAAGGGAGTTTATCAAAAGGGTGTTGAATCAGTGATCTCTACGGCCTGGTATTAGCTTAGCTCTCTCACTTTTCCATAATTTGTGGCAAGCTGGGATGATTCAAACATAGGTTTTTATTGAGATTGTATTGTTAATCCATCTTACTAAACTAAAGGCAGATCTATGGCGAAAAGCTTCACGGTAAGTTCTTACAAGGAGGAGCATGGACCATTAGGGAGGATTCGAGGATGCGGAGATCAGGTTAGCTTCTCACTTTTCCATTACGAGTCAAGGAAATGTTATTTAGCGATCTTAATTTTATGGTTGAATATTTAAAAACTTTAGCTAGTGACTGCATGCTACCAGTTTTTTCCCTCTGGATCTTTGATTTATTATCCTTTTTCCACTTTCTTGTCTGCTGAATTATGATGATAAATTTCCAACACTTTTCAACGTTTCGAATCCACCAATCAAGCAACCTTTTTCCTTTTTTTTTTTTTTTTTTTTTTTGTGGCAGACAAAATTCAGATATTCAATTATCAACCATTTCAGCCACCCACACCCGTTGAGATACGGCCAAGTGATCAGGGCTTCCTGTATAGCATGCTCCAAATATGAATATGGAGAAGCAATGTACCTATGTCGTTCCAAGTCATGCGACTACCAGCTGCATCCATTTTGTGCACAGTTGCCGCGACAGCTTCATAACCCCTACCATCCACATCCTCTCACTTTACAAGCAAATCCTGGTGAAGAAGAAAAACATTTTGCCTGCACTGCCTGCACTAGAAAGCTTGGATCACAATTTCGCTACTACTGTGACCATTGCGATCTAAAACTGGATATTGGATGTGCTTCTCTAAGGTGCAGCACAAATAAAGATAATGGCTTACTTCACCATTTTAGCCACTTTCATCCATTGGCGCCTTTGAACAAGGTTCCTGATGAGCAATCCTATTTAAGACGCTGCGGAAATCTCTCCGACCGTGACTATGTTTGCACTGGATGCAACTTCGTTCTCCCCTCCTCATGTCTTGAGTTGAAGCTGCCAGGAGAGATCCAACACTCTAATCATCCATGCCTCCTAACTCTCCGCATCCGTTTTCATTTTGAAACAACTCGTTATTGGCTTCAGAATCAGCATAAGCCACATTTTGAGTACCAGTGTGCGAAATGCAGATTTATTATGGAGGCTACCTCAGCTGTATTTCTCACTACCCAATCTTACGAAGATCAAAAGCAATTTCACCATTTCAGCCACAAGCATCCATTGATATTGAGTAGGCAAAAAGACAACGATGATCGAGTTAATTGCTCTGCATGTGGAAAATCCTGTTCAGGTCCAACTTATTGCTGCACCACATGCCAATATTTTCTCCACCAGCATTGTTTTGATTTGCCACTAGAAATTCGACACTTCTTTCACCGATGCCCTCTCTTCCTATGCATTCAAGCAAATTCTGTTAATTGTGGAGCTTGTAACAAAATTATTCCGGGCTTCTACTTCTACTGCAAATGGTGCAATTTCAGCATGGACGTTGAATGTGCTCTGTCACCCACGATAGAATTTCAAAGTCGAGAGCATTTTTCCCATTTTAGCCATCCGCATCCATTGATGCTCATTGATATAAAGGACAGTGATGGAGTTTACTGCTCTGCTTGTGATAAATGCCTTTCAGGCCAAGGATTTGTCTGCAGCGAATGCAGTTTTGTCCTCCACCAATCCTGCTTTGAGTCACCACAGGAAATCCGACACCGGTTTCATCCATTCCATCCTTTAATTCTCCAAACTAGGCCATCTAATGTCTCATCTACATGCAATGCCTGTTGCAAATATCTCAATGGGTTTACTTACGTTTGTTCTCATTGTAATTTTGAGTTGCATATTGAATGTGCTACCATAATGCCCAATGTTTCTTATAAAGGACACCAGCATCTCCTACTCTTCTTGGAGAATACGGAAATTGAGGTCGAGTGTAATAGCTGTGGTATCTCTTGCAACTCATCCGTGTTTCGCTGCGTGGATTGCAATTTTAACCTCCATTACACATGTGGTCCATTGCCTCATACCATTAAACATGAATGCCACATAGATCCTCTACTCCTCAGAGATTCTCCTGTTGAAGATGATACATATGATGGGTTTTACTGTGATGAATGTGAGAAGAAAAGAGACCCATTGTTACCTATCTACCACTGCAAGGATTGCCACTACATTGCTGAGATTGAATGTGTCAAGTCTGAGGTATGCCGACTTTTGGTCTTTTATTCTAACATTTGAAACCAAAATCATCAAGATGAAGGTTTGATGGCTAAAATGATAATGAAAAAATTTAAATATTAAACTTTTGATGGACCTAAAACTGTTGATAAAAATTGCAATAAGCATTCTGATGGTCTATTAAGCCAAATGAATGAGATATTATGCTACCTGGAGCCTATTTGATAATTCAAACACTTGACGTAATTCTTGAGTTGTGCATCAGGTTATGCTCACGCTGAAGGGAGGCTATGGAGATGTGGAGTTGAGGAATCCAGCAGGACGAATCAATGGCAAAGTTATCACCAATTTAGAGCTGACGGAGATAGAGCTGGAAAAAGAGCAAAACAGCAACAAAGATGTTGGAGATATGGAAGGGAAACCTTTAACCTTCGATGACGCGTTTGATTATCTCAATTTCGATGAAAAGAGAGAATTGGAAAATGTTTTAGCAGCTCAGCGGAGGGATATAACTGAGGCAGTAGATACCTCATCCGAGAACAACAGCGAATATAGCGATGTCTATGGTGATGATGTGATTGAGGCAGGAGAGACATCATCTTATGACTATAGTGAAAACAGTGGTGATGAGCACTTGAGATTCAATGATATTTCACTAGCTTTCCGAAGGAGCATATGTAGGATTAAAAAGATATTATCCAGCGACCGTAGAGCAGATAGTGATGGGAAACTACAAGTTTCACAATTCTTGGATTAAGCTTATGCAAATTTTATGGAGAATCTTGATTCTAGTCGCCATTTCTCTTACTTGACACTTTGGGAAAGAAATGACGAGGTTGTAGATGTAGGAGATAACAAGATCACTCAGACTCTGGCTCCCATTCTACAAGACCTCTGTGCCAAATATGGTGATATCAGTGCTGAGTCCACCTTAAGACATCCTGTGAAGACATATTACACTATCATGTTATGTGGAACTGTTCAAAGCATGTGCAACACCAGGATAGTCGACATCTCTCAAGATCTAATTCTCACTTGGTGGTCCAATTTAAAAGCTTTGCAGTTTGTTGGATTCGAAGTCCAGCATATCTTTGATCGGCTGAAGAAAGTTGCACGTCCCTACTTTGGTCTTCGGGTTAAAGAAGAAGTAGAAAATGGTGCAGCAAAAGTTAATAAGAAAATCATAAAGCTTTCAACAGACATTGAGGAATTAACATGCAAACTAGAGGCACTAAAGCGGAAAAATGAGGGTATAAAGTCTCTAGAATCTTCAAAAAAATCCAGATTAATAGAGGACTGTTTGGAAGAAGCTGAGACGCTGAAGTGGTGGCATGCAGGTGCAGGTGTGCTTTAATTTGCTGAGTGTTCATCTCGGACCTTACTTATCCCTTTGTATATACTTCTCCATGGATTTTCATAAAATATATGCAATTTACACAGTTTGATAGTGAAATGTAAAAGCTACTGTATCTTCTGATGTTTTTGAATTTCGATTAGCTTTTCTCTATCACTTACTGTATGATCTGAGCACTCTCTGATCTCAAAGTTCTTGTGTTGATGTTGGACAATCAATTAGTTGTTTGTTGTTAGCATAACTGACACTGTACAGATGAAAAGGGGAAACTGCTTTGGGACAAGATGCCAATTCCCATTGTGAAAACAAAATCAGGCCTTTAGACTAAAATAGAACACCCCATTTTAGTTCACAAAAATTAAAGATCCAATTTTTATAATTGACTGAAAAAAATTCAAAGAAAATAAAAAGAAACCACTTAAGCAAAGAAGAGAAGAGTACATACCAGCAAGAAAAATAAGGCTACAGTTCAAAGCAATGAGAGGCGATGAAAAGGACTCCTGGGGTAAGGCTTGTCTTTAACCAATCCATAGTGTGTTTTGTTAACATTTTGAAGTTGAACCATCCAACAAGACAGATCTCTCGGACCATGACTACATTTGCATCCGTCGCGAATTCATTCTCCCCTCCTCATGTTCTGAGTTGTAGCTGCCGAGAGAGATCCAACACTCTAATCACCCATGCCTCCTAACCCTCCGCATCCGTTTTCATTTTGAAACAACTCGTTATGGGGATCAGAGTCAGCATAAGCCAAGTTTTGACTACGAATGTGAGAAATGCAGATTTATTATGGAGGCTACCTCAGCTGTGTTTGTCACTACCCTATCTCATAAAGAACAAAAGTAATTTCACCATTTCAGCCACAAGCATCCATTGACATTGAGCGAGCACAAAAACAATGATGATCAAGTTAATTGTTCTGCATGTGGAAAATCCTGTTCAGGTCCAACTTATTGCTGCACCACATGCCAATATTTTCTCCATCAGCCTTGTTTTGATTTGCCACTGGAAATCCGACACTTCTTTCAGCGATGCCCCCTCTTCCTACGCATTCAAGCAAATTCTGTTAATTGTGGACCTTGTAACAAAATTATCCAGGGCTTCTACTTCTACTGCAAATGGTGCAATTTCAGCATGGATGTTGAATGTGCTCTGTCACCCACGATAGAATTTCAAAGTCGAGAGCATTTTTCCCATTTTAGCCATCCGCATCCATTGATGCTCATTGATATAAAGGACAGTGATGGAGTTTACTGCTCTGCTTATGATAAATGCCTTTCAGGCCAAGGATTTGTCTGCAGCGAATGCAGTTTTGTCCTCCACCAATCCTGCTTTGAGTCACCACAGGAAATCCGACACCAGTTTCATCCATCCCATCCTTTAATTCTCCAAGCTAGGCCATCTAATGTCTCATCTATATGCAATGCCTGTTGCAAATATCTCAACGGTTTTACTTACGTTTGTTCTCAGTGTAATTTTGAGCTGCATATTGAATGTACTACCATGATGCCCAATGTTTCTTATAAAGGACACCGGCATCTCCTACACTTCTTGGAGAATACGAAATTGCGGTCGAGTGTAATAGCTGTGATATCTCTTGCAACTCATCCGTGTTTCGCTGCGTAGATTGCAATTTCAATCTCCACTACACATGTGGTCCATTGCCTTATAACATCAAACCTGAATGCCACATAGATCCCCTACTCCTCAGAGATTCTCCTGTTGAAGATGATACATATGATGAATTTTACAGTGATGAATGTGAGAAAACAAGAGACCCACGGTTACCTGTTTACCACTGCAAGGAGTGCCACTACATTGCTGCGATTGAATGTGTCAAGTCTGAGGTACGCCAATTTTTGGTCTTTTGTTCTAACATTTGAAACCAAAATCATCAAGTTTATGGTTTGATGGCTAATTAAAACGATAATGAAATCAATTTAAACATTAAAATTTTGCTGCACCTGAAACTTTTGATAAAAATTGCAGTACGCATTGTGATGGTGTATTAAGCCAAATGGATGGGCTATTATGCTAGCTGGAGCCCATCCGATCATTCAAATATTTGACGTAATTCTTGAGTTTTGCATCAGGTTATGCTCACGCTAAAGGGAGGCTATGGAGACGTGGAGTTGAGGAATCCAGCAGGACGAATCAATGGCAAAGTTATCACCAATTTAGAGCTGACAGAGATAGAGCCAGAAAAAGAGCAAAACAGCAACAAAGAAGTAGGAGAAATGGAGATCAAGCCTTTAAACCTCATAGATATGTTCAGTTTCGATGAACGCTGAGGATTGGAAAATCTTTTAACTGGCAAACAGAGCGATATAACTGAGGCAGGAGAGACATCATCTGACGACCATATCGAAAGCATTTGGGAGGAGCGACTCAGTGGTGTTTCACTAGCTCTCCGAAGTAGTATATTTAGGATTAAAAAGACGTTATCCGTTGACCATGGAGAAGATAGTGATGGCAAACTGCAAGTTTCCCAATTCTTGGATTAAGCTTATGCAAATTTTATGGAGAAGCTTGATTCTGGTGATCGATGGTTTTGGGAGCCACTTTGGGAAGGTGATGATGTGGTTGTAGAAGTAGGGGACAATATGGTCACTCAAACTTTGGCCCCCATTCTACAAGACCTCTGTGCCAAATATGGAGATATCAGTGCTGAGTCCACCTTAAGACATCCTGTGAAGACATATCTTACTGTGATGTTATGTGGGACTCTGCAAAGCATGCGCAACACCAGGATTGTCGACATCTCTGAAAATCTAATGATCATTTGGTGGACCCATTTCAAAATTTTGCAGTCTGCTGGATTCAGAGTCCAGTTCATCTTTGATCAGCTGAAGAAAGTTGCTCGTGCCTACTTTGGTCTTCGGGTTAGAGAAAACCTAGACAATGCTGCAGCAAAATATGATAAGAAAATCACAAAGATTTCAACAGATTTTGAGGAATTAAGAATCAAACTCGAGGAACTAAAGGGGAAACGTGAGTATATAGACTGTCTAGAATCTTCAAAAAAACCCAGTTCGATAGAGGACTGTTTGGAAGAAGCTGAGAAGCTAAAGTGGTGGCATGCAAGTGCAGGTGTGCTTTAATTTGCTGACTGTTCATCTCGGACCTAACTTATGCTCCCCTTTGTGTACTTCTCAATAGGATTTTCTTCAAAATATATGCAATTTCCATAGTTTGGTAGTGAAATGTAAAAGCTATTGTACCTTCTGACGCTTTTGAATTTCTATTAGCTCTACTCTCGATTTCCCTTACTGTATGATCTGGTATGATTATCAATTTCTGCTGTTTTTGTTCTTCAGTTGAGTTGGCAGTATTTGACCATCCTAAATCAGTTTGTTCTGCATTTGACATATGGTAGTAAAAATGATTATGGTGACGGTGGTGGTAGAGGAGTAGGAGGAGGTAGTGGTAATAATAATAATAATAATAATATAATAATAACAATAATATATGTTTTAAAAATTGATATCATCATCGTAGGAGGTGACAATAGAAAAAAAATAATGATGTTAGAAAAATGATAACAGAACAATAATAATAATAATTTTTTTCAAATATTTTTTTTTACTACCATTACTAATCGTGGTGGTGGAGATAGATGATAATAGTAGAAATAGTTTATATACAACAGATAAAAGAATATATCACTATTTTAAAGAGAAAAAAATCAATTTCGTTCTCGTCTCCCTTCATGATAATAAAACTATATTTAATTTTAATTTTTATTTTTATTCTCACTTTATGTTTTTCAATTCAACGCTTAGAAAGTGAAATTAAAACTTTTATTTCCACAATTTCGTTCTTTTTTACCAAACAATACCTAAAGTTTTGTTTTAAAAAAAATTGCTTACAAATTAATTCTTTTTCATGAATTAGGAAAACTGAAAATAAAACCATAATCTTAGATTTCTAAGATTAAAAATTCACTCAAACAAGAAACAAAAGGAGAAAACGAAAGAAAGATGGAAACTTTACTGGAGATGGTGATAAGAATCTTTACAACGCCTGACTCAATTAGCTCAACTGGTTCACGTATCTTCTTCTTTTTGCTTCTCGCGAGCCGTAAGTTCGTCGAAGAAAGAGGGCTTAGGGGCTATTGCAGCTGATGTAGGGTAATACTAAACAAACTAAAGAAGTTGGTAATGTGCTTCAAGTTAACAAGGGCTCTCAGCCTTTTTGGATAATTAAAAAAATATTGAAAAATCTTGAAGTGGGGAAGTGAATTATTGAGGTTGATTACATCTTTCACTCAATTTCAACTAGTTTATCAAACATACAATTTTAGTTTCAAATTCGAGAATTGCTCATGAATTCTCCAATCAATAGTTAATGGTTCCAAATTTGTCCTGAATTTTGGCTCAAGGAACTGCTATGTTAATGCTATTTTCTTAGGATAATGTTTTAATTAAACAGTATATCACCACCGCTGATTTTTTTCGAAAGAATTAATCACCAATTCCCAATATATTTGAGCAAAGCCACACCTCATAGTATGATTTTATATAAAAACCAAAATCAATCCATATATGTAAGTAATTAAGGAGTAAATATAATACCCTCTAAGACAAGGAGGAGGAGAAATACCAGCAACAAAGATAGAGTGGGGATGAATTATTGAGACATAACTATCAAGAATAAAGTTAAAGTTTAATGCAAGATGCTCTATCTGTCTTCATTGAAGATCATGTGATGAGAAAGACTTTTTTCATAGATAAAACAAGATTAGGTGAAAGACAGGCCAAGTAATATTGCCAATCAAGAAGGAACCTTTGAAAAGTGGGAATGAATTATGGAGACTTAGTCATCAAGAATAAATTATATTTAGTCCTTGAATATTCTGCACTGTTTCACTTCAATCTCTATATTTCAAAAGTTTTTAGTATCAATCTCAGAGTTTTTAAGAAGTTCTAGGGATCCTTTTTTCCATTATAAAAGCTCTTACAAGGTAGAAACTAACCAAAGCATATTACCGCTTTATGAATTTTTTCCATTAATTAACTACAAGGGGGCAGATTGGAACTTTTGGAAACTATAAGGTTGGCATTCGAGAACTTTAGGCTCTAAAATCTAATCTACAAGGATTAGAAAATATAGTTTACCTCACTACAATTCCATCCCCAGTAGTCAGTACTGCTATGCCAGAAGTTCTGGATAATGTCATGCAAGCAAGATGGAAGGTGGTGTCCAGTGATCCAAAACACTACTGCAGGTTAGCTTTAATTTCTCTCAGCCATATTTTTGGTGGTCCATACAGAAATTAGGATGATAAACTAGCCAAAGAATAAGTACTGGAAGAGATAAGTTTGGACTTTCCAGTGGAGTGAGCACCATTAGACCAGCAACCAGAAATTAGTTAGGTACTATTCTTTTCAATTAAGGAAAAAAACATCAGAGTTTTTCAATTTAAGAATACCATCATCGACTAGGATAGCACATAAGTTTATAAGCTTCAAGAGTTAGCAATTAAGTACTATTTTTCCTTGTTAATAAAAATATGTTCATCGCTACTAGACATAGTCATACCTGCCAGCAATTGTTTCGTCTGATCTTCAATCTGTTATCCTTATTCAGTTTTCTTGTTTAGATAGATTACTTGGCCTGAATGGTGTTCAGATGTTAAATTCGCCGTTCACAGGAAGATACTGAAAAGAGTTTATTGTGAGCAGCACCCAACAAAGTTGGATATAGACAGATGGAGATTAACCATTTCAGCCACCAACATCCCTTGAGGTTCGTCGAGATGATCATAGTGGATAACACTCAATGTAATGGCTGCTCCCTGCCCACTGAGGGTCAGATGTATGTGTGCTGGTCATGCAAGTACCAGCTGCATGATTTTTGTGCAGAGTTGCCGAAAAAGCTTCAAAATCCCTTTCATCCACATCCTCTCATTTTACAAGTAAATCCTAGGGATGAAGAAATGCATTTCAAATGTGCTAGTTGTCTCCAATTTCACTCGGGCTTCTGCTACCGCTGCGACAGTTGTGATCTCAATTTGGATATCAAATGTGCTGCGCTGATACCTGCTATAGATGAAGGTTACAACTTGCTTCACCATTTTAGCCACTTCCATCCGTTGGTACTTTGCCATGGGTTTCCTAATAACGCTAAATGTGCAGCATGCTGGACAAGCTGGTCCAGTCCAAACTATGCTTGCCCACAATGCAATTTCTTTCTCCACCAGTCATGTTCTGAATTGAAGTTGCCACAAGAGATACAACATTCGGATCACCAATGCCTCCTAACTCTTTGCAGTCAATTTTTACCCTTAACTGATAAATGTCCAGAACTCTACATTCTTTTCGAGCTTGGATTAGCCACAAAATTTCAACAAGGTTTATACTACCACTGTAAAAAATGCGAATTTCAGATGAAGGTTAAACCAGCCCTAATATTAACTAACCAATCTGAAAAGCAATTTCATCATTTCAGCCACAGGCATCCACTGATGCTGGACGAGCAAAACAATGAAGACGACCAAGTTAATTGCTCTGCATGTGGAAAATTCTGTTCCGGCCCAACTTATGGCTGCACCACATGCAGATTTTTTCTCCACCAACCTTGTTTTGATCTGCCGGTGGAAATCCGACACCTCCTTCACCAATGCCCTCTCTTTCTGCACATTAAGCCAAATTCTTCAAATTGCAGAGTTTGCAGAAAAATCATTCAAGGCTTTTACTTCCACTGTGAATGGTGCAATTTCAGCATGGATGTTGATTGTGCTCTGTTGCCGGTAATAGAGTTTCAACATCAACAGCACTTTTCCCATTTTAGCCACAAGCATCCATTGACACTCACTGAGATAAAGGATAGAGATGGAGTTTACTGCTCTGCATGTCTTACATGCTTCTCAGGCCAAGCATTTGTCTGCAGGAAATGTAATTTTGTCCTCCAAAAATCCTGCTTTGAGTCACCATGAGAAATTCAACATGAGTTTCACCCATCTCATTGTCTAACTCTCAGAACTAGGCCTACTAAAGTCACATCTACATGCAACGTCTGTTGCCAGTATCTCAGTGGGTTTACATATTGTTGTGTCCAGTGTGATTTTGACTTGCATATCAAATGCACAGAAATAATGCCAACAATTTCTTATAAAGGTCATCATCACCAGCTATTTTTCTTGGAGAATATAGACATTGAGGTAATGTGTAACTGCTGCAGCACCTCTTGTAGCTCATTTGTTTTCCGTTGCGTGAAGTGCAACTTCAATCTTCACCATGTGTGTGGTCCATTACCCTGTACCATTAAACATGAATGCCACATAGATCCCATCATCCTCACAGATTCTCCTTGCGAAGATGATACCTATCAGTTTTACTGCGATGCCTGCGAGAAGGAAAGAGACCCTCGGTTATCTATCTATCACTGCAAAGAGTGCCACTTCATAACTGAGATTAAATGTGTCATGTCTGAGGTATGTCAGCCAACTTTGGTCTTACATTGCAAGATTTTAAACCAAAACGATCAAGATTTAGATGCGATAACAGAAGTGGTGTTAATAGAATCATTTTGATCCAGTAAATTTTTTTCAAGACAACTGCTTTTTGCAGTAAAAGCCATAAAACATTACTTATCTTTGAGAATTTCTGCTTTACCTTAAATGAATTGGTTCCATATCAAGTCTTATCCCATTAATACAATCTAAAAAATTTAACACTTTTGTTGAGTTGTGCTTGCCAGATTATCCTTACACTATTGGGAGAATATGGAGAAGTGGAATTGAAGACTCCGTATAGAGGAATGAAAGGAAAGGTCACTAGCAAAAAATTAAAGGTGACAGAGATGGAGCAAAAAGAAGAGCAAAACAGCGAGAAACAAGTACTGGAACAGGAGGACAGCCCTGTTTTATCTTTGCAGGATATGTTAATGTCTTTCAGTGAAGAGGACAAGATGCAAGTGAATCGTGTCTTAGAAGTTCACAGAAGGGAGATGATAAAGGCTAAAGAGATATCCTCCACTAGCCATAGAGAAGACAGCAATGACAATCTAGAAGTTTCCCTGTTCTCGGATGGAGCATATAAACATTTTATAGAAATTCTTGATTCGAAGTGTTCTTCTTTGACACATCAAGATCAGAATGAACTTTGTGTGGAGATGCTTGGTCGTTTGACAAAGTCTGAAGAAGATGAAGAGTTCGCGAAATTAAGGGATATCTTGATTATGGAAAATCTGACTCCTATTCTGCAAGACTTGTTTGACAAATATGGAGACATCAGTGTAGAATATTTTTCAAATCTGCGAGTTAAGTTGTATTTCATTGTCATGCTATTTGGGACTGTATATAGCATGCGAAAAACCAGGATCATTGACATCTCTGAAAATCAGCTTCTCACTTGGTGGTACTTTCTGAAAATTTCGCAGCTTTCAGGATTGAAAGTTCAGTTTGTCTTGGATCGCTTAGAGAAAGTCACCCATGCCTACTTCGGACTTCAGGTTAGAAACAAGGTTGACAATACCATGGCAGAAATTGATAGAGAAATGACAGATATTTCAAAAGAAATGGAGGAATTAACAAAGAAATTTGAGGCACTAAAGGGGAAACGTGATAGTATAACATCAGCAGAGTCCTCAAAATCCAGATTCATAGAAGACTGCTTGGAAAAAGCTACAGACCCGAAGTGGTGGCCAGCAGGTGCAGGTCTACTTTAATTTCCTGAGTGTTTATCGCAGGCTCTCTCTTCCTTCAAGTACTCTTCTTTATCATATCTTGATATCATTTACATACAATGATTATTAAAAATTAGAAGGCTTTTTCATCTACCGATGGATTTTGCAGAGGCATAAAATGTACATCATGCAATAGTTTAAAAAGGTAAAAATTTGACCTAGAAAAGCAAAAAAAGCTTATATAAGGGTACTTTCTCAAAACCCAGTGGCCAGAGAACTTCATTGAAGACTCCAAATTGTACCATGTGAACAAATAATACATATTTAACACTCTATGCAAACTTTTTTCTCCTTGTTTTTCAGTTGGTTAGGAACTAGAAGTCACCAAATCAGATATTAGTATAAACCAAACAAAACACAGCCACACGAATTCCAGTATGTAATTCACTGAAGGCATAGCATTAGCAAATGTCTCTCAAGAAAACAAAACTTGAGCCAGTTAAATAGATCATACAGAAGCAGTATATCCAGTCACGTAAGGCATAGAAGAGTGACCTTCCATAAAGATGCATTGCTAAATAATTAATGTTTCAATCTCGACGAATTTTACCAGTACTGCTCATTTTTCAGAAGAATCATCTACCAATTCCCATCATATATGAACAAAACTACACCTTAAGACATGATTTCCACAGAGAATAAAGCAACCATGTTGTGTAGTAATTCAAGAGTAAGTAAAACAGCCTCTAATAAATAGCTGCAACAAATAAACATAGATCTTGCCTCTAATTCCACAGCGTGATTTGCTCGCATTTTGAAACAAGAAAGAGCCTTTTGTTCCTGCAACATCAATAGAAACAAAAAGTTGTCATCTTTTCGGTTTCCAAAGCCACAAAGAACTGAATCAGACTTCCATGGTTCTAAATAGGGAGAGAAAGAGCTTCTAATGGATCAAGGGCCAAGCCCCAAAAAAATTAAAATAGGCCCACAAAAAGAAGAATAGAAATAGAGAGGCCCAAATAAATAAATAAATGAGGCCTCAAAAGCATTTTGCGATAGATAATTTTGGGCCTATATTGTTAGGCCTGCAAGCACACTGATAACTATCAGAGAGAACAATAACTTTTAATTACAAATAATTATTTAATCCCTTTAGTTTAAAGAACCAATATTCAATCCCTGTACTTTTATATTCATTTGTAACTTACTGATTCTTTTAGTTTTTCATGGCTAATTCATTTTGGACCATGTGAACCAAACCTAATTAATTCAAAACAATTCCAATACAAAAAACATACTCAATTAAAATTAAAAAAAAAATACCTAAAAACTATAATACGAATAAAAAAATAAAATAAAATGCATATTTCATACCTAAAAATTATAATATCAAGAACAAAAATAAAATTATAAAACATTTTAAAACTATATCATACCTAAAAAATCAATAATAAATCAAAAACACGAAAAATCGCAACACCAAGAGTGATACAAAAAACCCACAAAAATCAAATATAAAATATGGATTAATAGAAAAACATATACCTACTAGAAGACGAGAGATATAGCAGAGGAGACGACGGTTGTTGTGGGAGAGGAGATGGTTGGAGTGATTAGGGAATGCTAGAGTGTGGAGGAGAATGATTTATGAGGTGATCTAGGGAGTGTTGTTTGAAGAAGGCGGCAATGAGAGGTTGGGTAGGGAAAAGGGAGAAAAAATGAGAAAAGAGAGGGATTCTACCAATTTAGAGATTGAAATTTAACGTCAATCGCTATTTCGTATCTAATTGTGACAAATATAAGTGTTTGTCGCTGTTTTAATATTAAAAAATAGAGCCTCTTTTTCACTTACTAGCGATGAACGAGTTTGTTATTGATATTGGATTTTTTTAGCGTTGATTCATCTTTGTCATTGATTGACGGGAAATTAAAAGGCTTAGTGAGGGATTTTTCCATCACTAAGTTAAAGGAAAAAAGTTACCGACATTAGTGACGGACATCATAATTCGCCTCCGAATGTTGTTGCAATTTAGTTAGTAATTCATTGCAAAAAATAGTCGTAAAAAATTTATCACGTTATTTAACGATGGAAATGTTCTGTTGTTGATGTTCTATTGCCAAATGATCGGTATTCCATCGTTATCAATCCTAAATCGATAACGATCATAACTCGTTCACAAATCTATTGTTGTATAGCGAAAAATTATGGTTCGTCGCTATTTAACATGCTTTTTGTCGTGGGAGAAGCATTAGCAAACGTAAAATCGTTAATTAAGTTCTTTTATATTCGATCCGGAAGTTGGAATGCTTTGCGGACTATAATCTTATCATTTTTTATTTTTTTATACAAAATCCTCTTAATTGGTACAAACATAAACAAAACCAGGTATAAATTTATACCTGTCATTTTAAAATCTTCTTTCGGTCTTTCTTTCCAATACTCTCTTCTTCTCATCTAGTCACAATACATAGCTAAGATTTTTTTCTTAATTTAACTATCTTTCAAGTATAAATTCACTGTATCTACCACTTAAAAGTTGTTTCATTTCTAAAATGAGCGCTTAACATCATAAGAATCGTCATAAACAAATTAAGATGCAAAATCAGTAAACGTACAAGAATAAGGACTGATCTGTACATGTAAGGAACTAAGAAGGATTATACTGATGAATGGCCAATAATATAATATTAATTCTGATACCCACTTCTTTCTTCTTCGACGAGAGACGCCTTTCCTCATCAGTGGCTCTCTATATTAAAACGTCATCGTTTGGCCTGCCGCCCTTTCTCTCTCCATCTCGTCTTCTTCCTCTCTCTGCCAAAAGTTGTCTTTGGTGCTCGGTAGCAGACGCCATCAGAGCCTCCTTCCTGCAAGGTAATCTCTATCTCTCTTAGTTATCGCTTCTTCCTTCCTTCTTCTGCTCAAAAATTCGACTTTTCAATTTCGAATTCCTAATTTCTAGGGTTTTTATTTCGCTCTTTCTCGATTGCTGATGTTAGGGTTTGAATTTCTTATTGATTGCTTAATCTGATCAAATTTGCTCTGTGCAGATCGATCGCACAATCTATGTTGCCAACACCGAAATTTTGATTAAATTAGCTCTCGATCAAACCACAACAATCACCACCGTCCATCTTCATTTCGTCTACATCCCATCAATCCAGGTTTGATCAGATTCTTTCTTCTTCTTTTTTCCATTAAATATTTATTTCTTTTTCTGATCCTCCCATAATTAAATTAATTCTTCAATCGTTGGAAAAATGGGTTGCTTTATCTTTTATTTATTTGTTTACTGGGATTTTGATTAAACGGAAAATGGTTTTTATTTTTTGGGTTGTGGTTAGGGTATTGAAAAAAGGGAAGATGGGAGCATTTGCATCAAGGTTTTGGTTCATGTTGTTTCCAGCAAAGGAGTACAAGATTGTGGTTGTTGGGTTAGATAATGCTGGAAAGACAACTACACTTTACAAATTGCATTTAGGAGAGGTTGTAAGTACTCACCCCACTGTTGGTAGCAACGTTGAAGAGCTTGTCTACAAAAACATACGATTTGAGGTACCTACCGTTTTTATACTGCTACTTCATAACGTATCTTGGCTTTAGTTTTATCGGTGTTAGTTATGCAATAATGGATTGCGTATTGTTTGAATTTGGGGTTTTTAAGACTAGTGAGTTGTGGAGTTTCTGGGATTGACGTTGTGAATCTAATATTTAATGCAAAATAGAAGTAGAAGCTGGAGAATTTCTGTTTGGATTTAAATTTTGATGTTAGAGAATCTTTATTATTCTAATTCACCAAGTGTAGTAAAATTGAGAATGATGATTTCATTACTGAAGCTGAGCATGTATTTAGTAGTTATGCTACTCAGAAGGGATTTGTCAAGTTCAAATTTAACATCTTTTCTTGTTATGTTTGTTTGCATCTGTGAGATTGAATAGGATGAGCACTTCAACACCACCTTCTCTGTTTTCTTTCATTACTTATACTAATCCCCAAGGGCTTTGTCTAGTAGTTTGGAGGTGCTGCAAGTTGTTGCCTTGGTCTTTTGTTGAATTCCTTGCTTTGTTGTACTGGTCATGCATGTGTTTTTGGCTGTGTTTTGATTAGGGTTTTAAGCATCTGAGTAAGAAACTTGTCTTTTGTTATATGTTTATTAGCTTAGGAAATTTTTCTCTTATTTAGAAGGATTTGCACAATTCTCTCATTATATATAAATGCTTACAAAGGCATAGTAACCCTGAAACATACCAAAGGTTTCGGGCGTGTAAATTTTCTAGCCTTTAGATGTTTGGAGTTGGCTGCTTGTCTTAACATATATGTTCTTCCATGTACCTTTTTAGAGAGCTGATGATATTGTTTTCTTAAATGACACAGTAGCTATAATGCATACAAATTATGTGTCTTTCAACATTTGATGCACAAATAATTATAAAGCTCGACAACTCAAATCAACTTGATACCAAACTTTGCAACTCAACAAAAGTCTCGAGACCAATTTTTTTGGGGCCAACAAAAAAAAAAAAAAAAAGGAAAAAGAAAAAGAAAAGGGAAAATAACCATCAAGCATTTAAGAAGTCATCAGAAGTTTCATAGGTTGAGAGAGAGAGAGAGTAACATGTGGGTTTCTGTGCCTATTTTATAATGTTCTCATTCATCAGCTAAACAGATATTGCAAGGTATTGTTATGCACTCATCATTTTGAACAATAGTTGATTAAAAACCCAAACTATGATTTATTCTACTGTCAAGATCACTGATTGGGATACGTCATCTTTTAGAGTAAGGTATACTGTTCGTTGTTGTTTTAACTTTTTCTGCACGAGTGATGCAGGACAGCTTAGGAGGGGGCTGTTCTGGATCAGTCTTTGGAGGCTGTTTAGGTCTGCATTGATGTGGATTTCTGCTGGGAATCATAGAACTATGAGAGTCACTCTAATAGGGTTTTCTAGGAGTCACACCTAGAGTATAGAAAAACCTAAGCTTCAAATTGCTGGAATTTTATTCTTAAACTGTCATTGAAAATATTAAAAGACTACATGCGTATTTATAGAGTTCAAGTGGTCCAAATCCAATAAGGACTTAGATTCTTAAGTAAGAAAATACTAAGTCTATGCAGAATAGAAAGAACCTAATAAAACTAATTACTCTTTAGGATTAATAAAATACTAAATAGAAAATGAAGCCTAGACTTAAAACAAATTTCCATATTTTTCAGAAATTATAGAAATACCCTTGTCTGCAAAAAGATACAAGTTTTGTTTCCTTTGTTATCCGCATCAACAAGTGTATTGTATAGATGATGATGTCTATTCAGTTCACTATACTGACTCCACTGAGCAGTGCAATGTAATATGATTAGATTCAAATGTTGTCATTGATTGAGTCATTAAAATTGTTGGTTCATGTGTTAATTGGAAAAGATGTATTTTCCTGCTTCAATTAAATTGCTTAATATGCTGTAATATAAACTTCTTGATCCAGCATTCACAGTTCTCAAATACTTATTTTGAGTATTGACTTTCATACCATGTAACATATGGAAGTAAATTTAGGGCAATCGTATGTTATTCAGTCATATCATGTAACATATTGGACCATGCAACAAAGCTGTCAAATCTTCTCAAAGTTCTATTTATGCCATTTGCTTGCAAGAACTAAGTCTTTTTTCTTTATCCCATGATATTTTGGAAACTTTAGTTTAATACAATTTTCTGTTTGAATTTTTTAGTGGCAGAAGCATGCTTGATCATTCATGCTATAATGTTCTGCGGTGGGATGAATTTGTTAGCATGAAATTATGCTAGATACTTAATCATGTTTGTGTTCTCATGTTATCAGGTCTGGGACCTTGGTGGACAAGATAGACTCAGGACTTCATGGGCAACATATTATCGTGGAACTCATGCTGTCATCGCAGTGATAGACAGCACTGATAGAGACAGGATCTCCATTATGAAGGATGAGCTTTTCAGGCTGCTGGGACATGATGATTTACAACACACTGTTATACTCGTCTTCGCAAATAAACAAGACCTCAAGGATGCCATGACACCAGCCGAGATCACTGATGCTCTTTCCCTTCACAGCATCAAGAATCATGATTGGCACATCCAATCTTGTTGTGCCCTTACTGGGGACGGTCTATACGATGGCCTAGGGTGGATTGCTCAAAGAGTTACTGGCAAAGCACCAAGTTGAAAATAAGAAGAGTAATTGCTGAGGCGTTTTATTTTTTCAAATTTGTATCTCTTGTACCATCTAACCGTACTCAATCAATTCTGTAGAATGTTTCTACATTTACTTGTATTAGAGAATCTGTCATGTTTTACGCAATGAAGCATTTCCTTAAAAGATTTCCAATGAAGAAAAGGTTGCTGTAAAATTTTTGGTCTAGTGAAGCATTGCACAACACATTGCCTGAAAATTGCATCATATTTATAAAAGCCTCTTTCAACAAATGACAATCACTGTTAAGGGCAATCAAAATCTGAATATCCAGCAACAGCAACCTTTTGACTCCCTGGGGCCTTCGAACCATCGGTCCCAAAATGGGTTTATGGGGCCAGTCGTCCTGTAAAACCATGAAATAATTGGATATTTAGAAACGTGATGGCACAAGGATAAGACATAAGATCAGATGAAGAAATCACAAAGTTCATTACATTGGCAGTAGTGGGTCTGGTCTACTCTCCACATTGTTTAGCATTCTGACATGAACAAAACAAAGATTAGCTTCCAAATACATGTATTATCAACAAGAAAAAACAATAGAGTTTTTTCTCAGGCTTACTCTTTGCATGCAGTTGAGGCCTTCTCCAACTTATCAAGTTGTTCCAGCTCTTCCTGAGGATAATGCATTGAGGAAAAAAAAAGTCAGGATTACCATCTTGGTCTATGCAGTACTTGACGAAAGTTATAAGGCGATTCAGCTAGTTGCTAGACGAACAATACATATATTAAACTAAATCATTTGGAGCAAAAAAGCAAGGAATAATGAGATACGTTGTTATTTTCAAGTATAATATCTTATGCTTTCGAATTAGCAAATTGAATGCGACTTTAGTTATCATAAGCTCTCAATCAAGCAACTTAGCTGACACTAAAAACGCGTCAAAGTAAAACCTATCCGATTATTGAACCTAATGAATCACACAATTTGCTATTTGGATAGGTGACTTGTTTAAAACCCTTTTAAATTATTCCTATATCCGAAAAGTGATCAAACTTGCATGAGATGTTTTTTCAAGATCAAAACAACAGGTTATTGACCAGACAACATATCACCGCTCCAAAAGATGCTTTTTTATGAAACGATAATCTTACTAATTTTATCTGTGTAACATATTTACTATATTGCTTACAATTCCAAGTTGCCACCGACAAATTAATTAAATAGTTACCGCATTGCCTTATTAGAGGCAAGGCCTTGTTTCAACTATGCTTGGCAAGGTACATAGACATATAACATAAACTGCAACTAGGTTTAGAAATTAATTAGTGGCTGCAGTAGTTAAAAATTGAGAAGGTTGGCGGACAGTTTGCATCATCTCTTAGCACATTATTCACACTAGCATTAAAAAATTGCAGAAGCAAAAATTTCTTTGTTTCCTCTTCAGCGAAAGAAAACCCACTTCACGATTTCCATTTCTCAGCCATGTACACACAACACAATCAAACAATTTGGAACAAAAAAAATTGCTCTAGGACTTATCGAAGGGTCCAGAAATAATAACAAAACAATATAAAAAGAAAAAACAACTTGCCTCTAAGAATCTAGCTTCTTGCTCGATTCGTTTGAGCTCTGCTTGTATCCTATGCTTTCCTCTGGTATCAGCAACACTAGCAGCAGCAGCAGCAGCTCCCAAAGAATGAAGACGCTCGGTTAACGGACCTGATGAATCGGACCTATCCGATTGCATCTCTTAAAGCAACCAATAAATACAAAAAAGCCCTAGCTTTATTAAAAAAAAAAAAAAACATAAGAAACAGAAGTTTGTCTACCATATTAAAAGTAAAATCTCTTAGGCCAACTTATTCCATACATAAAGGTGAATTTTATACCATTTCTTCTCATTTTTTTGCCGATCACGAGGACATGTTGCGTAGTGACAGGTAGTTTGGTCAATAACTGTTGCATTGATCTTGATTGCATTACCTATTGTATGAATTTATTACTTAACATATTTATAATTACACACATCACTTTTTTGGATACAGCACAAATTAGAAGGTTCGAAACAAGGCACCAAGTAGATTAATTGCGAAATGAAAGTCGAAGGAAGTTTGATATTCAAATATCAAGAAAATATATGCATATAAACATTTCAGAAAAAAATTATAATTGTAGAATCACTGAAATGAAATTAGTTCACAGATTCCTTACCACCAAAAATTTTCTCAATCAACAGACTCCCTAATTTGTCTCTTCGAGCATCAATTTCCTAGGTAAATAAATGCATATGATTAATGACTGACCAAAAAAACAGATCAAGTAGGCTGAACTATCCCCTCAACCTCAATCAAACTAAAATCAGTTCTAAGCATCAATAAAATAATCTTAATCATAAGAAAGTAATGCTTAAATTAACAAATTTATTAAGCTTTTTTTACTTTCTCAGCAACCAAAGAGTCCACAACAAGTAAAGAAGAAGAAGAATAGAAAATCCTAATCTCAATAGAATATTCAACAGAATAATGAAGATGCAGCAATTGTGAATGGTCAAATTGAACAACCAATAAGAAATAAAACCCTAAAATGAGCAATCAAAACCCTAGAAATTCGAGCAGAGACGAATATCATGCAGAGAGGAAGAAAGAAGCAAAGAGAGATTACCTGCACTTGCAGGAGGCCTTAATGGCGTCAACTATCGAAGCTGCCAACACCCCTTTTCTCAGAGAGAGAGGAAGAAAGACGAAAGTGAGTGTGAGGGCGAAAGGGCATCAGCTTAGACGATGACGTTTCAGACAGAACCACTGAAGACAAAAGGCATCTCCTCCTCGTAGATGGAAGAAGTAAAAAGTACAGTCGTGCTTTTTTAAGGAAGTTAGGAGCACTTTGACGCCTGACATGTTTGTTGTCTTATAGCTGAGTTGAGTGGGATCAATTTGATCCTTCATCACTTTAGACCTTCTTTTTTCTTTACTTTTAAAAGTCAGTCCTTACTCTTGTAATCTTACATATTTTGCATCTCCAACTCTTGATGATGAACTTGCCTGAGCGCGAAGGAAGAGACGGCATAGATGAAAGAAGTGCCGAACATGTTTTTTTTTTTTTTTTTTAATGAAAATCGAGATTATATTAATTTAATAAGAAAGTTGCAGACTGGTAGTGATTAAGTTTACAAGTTGATACTTATGAATAAGCTCAATAAAATCTACAAGAAAATAAAAACTATATCTATACAATTTGTTTATAATCTTTATGAAGAATATTTCTAGCTAAGGTATCTGCAACTGCAACTGTTTTCTCTTCTCGGAGGATATGGATATGGCTGAATGATTTGTACTCATAAGTTGGATTTTCCCCATACCGAGCATTTAACTTGATCATCCTCATTGTCGTTCTCACTTAATGTCAATGGATGCATGTGGCAGAAATGATGATATTGTTTTGCATCTTTAGACTGGTTTGCGAGTAAAAAACAGATGAGGCAAGGTGACCCATTAGCACCATTTTTGTTTGTAATTGCAATGGAGGTTCTTACTTGTCTCTTGAATCAAGCGGATGAGCAGGGGAACATGAAGTATGATCCTAAAAGTAAGAAAGTGTCACTCACTCAGTTATGTTTTGCTGATGATTTTTACAGAGCGGAACGTAGATGCTAATTGTGCAATTCAAAGCAATTCTCCAAGAGTTTTATTCTCTATCTAGGTTGAAATTTAAACCTGCCAAAGGTGAGCTTTTTTGAGGAGGTATCAGCGATGATCAACAAACTGTTTTTCACAATATCTCTTGGTTTTCTTTGGGGAAACTTCCTGTTTAGTATCTGGAAAACTCTGTAATACCAGGGAAGCTTTCCAAGTGATAAGATTACTGGTAGATTGCAGAGTTGGACTTCCAAAATTCTATCTATTGCAGGGAGCTTGCAGCTTATTTCATGGGTAGGTCATATTCAGCACTCAGAATTATTGCGCATCTATGTTTGTTCCACCTGCCCATGTCACAAAAGTTAATGAAAAAAAAAATGCAGTGTCTTTTTATGGCATGTTAAGGATGATTCAGCCATTGGTACTAAAGTTGCATGCAGGATCTAACTCTTCCAAAGCAAGAAAGAGGCTTGGGTATCAGGAAGCTAAAGGAATAGAACATTGCTTGAATTATGAGGAATATCTGGTGCTTGATTATGCAGGCTGGTTCATTGTGGGTCGCTTGGCGTATGGCTCATTATCTTAAAGGCAGAAGCCTGTGGTGCTTGAATTTTCCAAACGATTGTTCATCGACTTGGAGCAATTACATCTGAAAACCATTTCTTCATCGAAAGTATTGTTTACAAGTAAGTAGAGAGGGTGTGGATGGTGAGGGTTTTGAAACTTTAGTGGTAAGCACACAAACTTTCTGCAGCTGATACTTGCATGACTGGCACACAGACATCTTACCCTCTCTGAAAATTCTGAGAAAACATTACATCGATTCTTAACTACTTCTCTCATCTCAAGCAACCTCAGGGATGTTTGAGGCTGAAAAGGTTAATCTCCATAGACAAAGTGGACTGATAATAACAGAAAATAGCAGGCATTGACAAAGTAATTAAGGAACGGAAAATATATACTTAGCAGACTATAAACGTCACAGCATGTGTCTAATGCCAAATGAAAACACAAAATATCACTCATTAACAAAGTTGAAATAGTGAAACAAACTTATAATCTGAAGCCAAGCACATAAGAACATACGCTTCCTTTGACATTTGAACAGAAGTCAGCGAAGGGATGGAGAGAGTGAGACAGAACTCTTAAAGTAGACCTGTGTCCCCTAGCTGCCACTTCATTCTGCAGACAAATGTCGGACCTGAACAGCAACTCCTGCAAGCAGAGCAATAAGATTGATCATCTTCGCTTATCTCCGTGAGTGTCAACGGATGCCCATGACATAAATGGCAAAACTGTTCTTCATCACTTTGACATTCTCTGGTGGGCAGCAGAGCACATTCAATATCCATGCTAAAATTGCACCATTCACAGTAGAAGTAGAAGCCCTGAATAGTTCTGTCACAAGCTCCACAGTTAAAAGATTTCGGCTGAATGCGCAAGGAGAGAGGGCATGGGTGAAAAAAGTGTTGGATTTCCAATGGCACATCAACACAAGATTGGTGGAGAAAATATTGACATTTGTTGCAACCATAAGTGGGAGCTGAGCAAGATTTTCCGCACCCAGAGCACTTTGACTTGACCGTCCACATTGTTTTCCTCGGTCAATTCTAATCGATGCCAGTGACTGAAATGGTGAAATTGCTTTCGACCTTCAGGTCTGATGAAATCTAAAGGCGGATTAAATGTCTTTAGGAACTTGCATTTTTCACACCAGCAAAAACCTGTGTCTGAAGATCTTCTAGTGCGTTGGATTTTTTTTTTTTCTCTCTCCTCAAAATAAATCTATGGAATAATTACTCTACGTATCATTAATTACTTCTATAGTATTATAAAATTTCTAGTATTTATCTATTTATTTAACTCAGGCTAGTGTTTCTCTGTTGATGACAGGTGTCTCGGAGAATGGGCCAAATCCAAATTTAGTAACTCCTAGTCCCAGCCCATCAAAACCTTAACGGTCTCTTGGCAAACAAATGTCAGACTGAAAGACATAAGTGGGCCTAACTGGTCGGTTGTTGGTCCATTTTTGAATGGATCTACATCAATTGCGTGATCTCGGAGGTATGCTCCATTAGCATTTGTAATCCTTGACAACTAAACTCATTTTATTTCTATCACATTAATCACAGCTTTCATGGCTCATTTGAATGATAATGATAGGGTCTTGTCAAAGGACATAGATGATGGGTGCTGGTCCTAATCCTAACTTTATCTCATGGTTCGTAAAATTCTTCGCTCTTTGGTTGGCTTTCAGGTGATGTTTTCATTAAGGCGTGAAATGGGAGAAGTGGAATTGAGGAGTGCAATATGGCATAAAGCTGGAAAGGTGATTGGCAAAGGTATGGTCAAAGGGATTGAGCTCGAGGAAGCAGGTCAAGTCAGTGAAACAGGAAGTAACAGAGAGGTAGGTAAAGTGGGCTTCGAGATGGAATATGATTCCTTTACAAATGATGTGAAAAAAATATCTGAGTATCGTTTGTGCTGTACTAGATAGAAAAGATTGGCACATAAAAGGAAGCAGGAACGCCGAGCAAACAGATTTGTTTTCTGATGAGGCCAATACTCAGATTATGGAGTTGCTGGATATTGGAAAAGGTGGAACTATGAGACTTTGGGGAAACTATGAGAAGGTTATCGAAGTTAACGATCATTTCGTCACCTGGGACTTGGCTCCTATCTTTGAAGACTTGTATACAAGATAAGGGGATATAAATGCTGAATCCATTTTACACTGTCCAAAGGTGAAGATGTTTCTCGCTCTGGAGCTGTGTGGAAAGATAAGAAGCATGTGCACCACAAGGGTTGCTGACATTTCAAAAGATCACCTGCTCAATTGGTGGAAAAACTTGAGAGCTTTTCAAATTGCTGGTTTCAAAGTACAGTTCCTCTCAGATCGGTTGGAGAGAGTTACCCGTGCTTGCTATGGTATTCAAGTTAAAGAAAACAAGAAGCTTAAGGAAATAGACAAAGAGATCACAAAGGTCTCTAAACATATTGAGGAATTGAAAGCAAAACTAATGACTGAAACAGCAAACTTGGAAGCACTTAGGAAGAAACGCAAGGTTGCAGAATCCACAAGGCCATGCAATCCCAGCTTAGAAGCTAAGTGTGTGAAGGAGGCTTTAGTACTCAAGTGGATGCTAGCCGGTGATGGTTTGCCATAATTTCATCATTGGGTACTTAACTTTCCTGCAAACTGGAGTGTTCTTTGCTTAATCAGTTCCAATGTCTTAGAAATCGAAAAGTAGGAACTGTTTTTTGCTTAATTCCCTGTGTTTTAGCAATGGAAGTGGAAGTCATCAGCAAGAAAGTTATAACAGTAACGGCTGTTATTGCTGTTAAATTATTTGTGCGAAATGCGGTTGGACGCTTTATAATGGCGTATAATGGTAACGAGTATGCCTGAATCCGTTAAATAACCCGTTATTTGAAACTATGATAACATCAGCCATTGAATACGTACCTTAGTGAAAGTCCTTCGGCACTGGGAAATTTTTCAGTATCTAAAGCTGCATTTGGTGATATAATTTCTTCTGTTGGTTACAATTCTATTCAAATTTTGCTATATATCAGAAAGACCATGAAACAATTCTGAGAAACGTATAAAAAAAGACAGAAATCTGGAATCACCTAGAGTGAATACAGATCAATGAGCTTTACACATATGGTAAGTCCTATAACGTTAGCATCAACTAGGAAATAAACAAGCACGAAAATATTTTACTCATTTGAATAGGAACATGTTATCTTTGCATGGCAGATTATCAAAGAAACTGTAAGGCTTGCAATTTGCATGCAGAATCAAAGACTTTTAAGGCTTTTTTGCAGGGTGATGTGAGACCTCGATCAATTTGTGAAATTTCAACTGGCAATTTCCCGCACCATTTGGTCACTAAATACGGGTAGCTTGACAAACATAGAAAACAAAATGCTAATCGTGCTTTAAGCCAATAGCTAGATTGGTTCCCTACTTCCCTCAGACCTATCTTTATTTAATTTCATTACTGGTAACTTGGCTGAACCTGCTAATTTATGTGGTGAGATATTCAAGATTAGGGTTTCCTAATGGTTTCCATATCAAAATTTACAAACAGTACTAAGGATTTTTGTTGGGCTAGTGGATAGAGATGGGAACAAGCACAGCATGTCCATTAGCATAAAACATCCTATTACATTGCAAACATGCTCTATGTTCCCTCAGGTTCCTATGAGAATCAAGATGTGGTTCTGTCTTATCTTCAACAGATTTGGTTCAGCAGTAAAAAGGTTTTTTTAGTTTGGTAAAAACCAAGATTCAATTTCTATTATCTAAAAATAACTAATCATAACTATTTCTTAGCATTATCGTGGTTAGGCTAGCTTCGCCTAAGAGGCAATCATTGATCGATAAAAAATACAGCATGTTTTGATATTAATTTAATTTGAAAAATGATAGACTTAGTTTCGATTTAATTAAGTAAAGCATATTTTGATACTAATTTAATCTAAAAAGTGATAGACTTAATTTCGATTTGATGCAAAAACTATTCGGAGAATACTCCATTACCAAAATATAGAAATAAAAAAAGCGGTTATGTCTTGTTTCAAATCTTAAAAAAAAATTATAAATTCTTAAAATTCGACGAGAAGGGAATTTGATCTTTACGTGTAGAAATTTGGCCGATTATAACTTTATTTAAAAAAAAAAAAATAGATGAACCAACTTGATGAGTATCATATAAGTGAACATTATTCTGATCTTAAATCTCTTTTAATGAATCAAATCGATGCATCTTGGTTAATTTGCTTCTGTTGTTTCACTAATTTGCTTTGCAGTTGTTTGAATCAAACAATAGAATTGTGAATCCCATCACTTTCTTGTTGTTGAGTAATCGGCCAAGCCCTAGAAACCTGTTGTTACCCCTCTTCAATTTTGAGTAATCGACCCAAATGTCATGTGCCAAGTAAACAAATTATGAGCAAAATGCAGTATTTTTTTTTTGGCTAAATTGTAAAATACCCTATGAACTTGAGGAAAAAAAAAAAACCTTTGATTTTGTCTTCCTAAACAATATGTTTTTTTAAAAAAAAATTTGACTTTTTCGTTAGAGTTTCGTTGAGAAATTGGTGGAAAAATTCATAAAAATCTTCTCAATACCTATCATTTTCTCTACCAACTTTTTTTTTTTGAAAAAAAAAACATGTTTACTGATAGAACAAATAGAGGAATTGAGAGGATTTTTAAAAGATTTTACCGTCAATTTCTCAATAAATCCTAAGAAAAGAGACAAGTTCAAAAAATTATATTGATTAAAGAACAAAATCAAGAAGTTTTTTTCATTCAGCAGGGTATTTGTTTTTTTTTCCCTCAAATTTAGAGAAATATTTTACAATTTATCTTCTTCTTCTTCTTTTTTTGCTAGAAGAAGAGCCAAAGGTCCAAAACTCAAGCCGAGGGAGTTTTTTATACTAGCCCAAAATTTGCTTCATCTTACTCTGGATATATTACAAAATGTTCGAGTTCCCAAATCACAAAAACCCAAATAAAAATAATAAAGAAAGAAAGTTCCATGAAAATGTATTACCAAAAGAGAAAAAGAACTAGAAGTTCAAAAGTCATCCATGTGAGTTGGGAAAAAAAAGGTATCTCAAAGTGGAAATGTGAAGAAGACAATCCCATGAGATCCACTTCGATGGTATATATATGGAAGAAAGGTGATGAACAGAGTAAATATATATGTCCACGAAAGCGTATCTTCTTAACCAAAGAAACTAGAGAAGAAGATTTTTGGCTTTTGGGGTCAACCATGTTGACTCCAACTCCATCTTAACTCGGTTAGGTGCCAAAAAGGTTTTGTTTTTGGCATTTAAATGCTTGGACCCCTTAGTTACCAACCCAACAGCATAGAAGATGATTTTTTGCTTTTATATGTATTACATTATTGTATGCATTTTCATTACTAGTCTTAAAATAAATAAATAAATAAATCGAGAAAGTGGCTAAACGAAAAAAAAATTACATAAAAAAAAACCATCAAGAGATATTATGTAGCAATAAGAAAATTATTGCGATTTGACCAATATCAAGATTCAATTCTTATTATCACGAATAACTAATCATAATTATTCTTTAAGTAGTATTAAGTTTTGATTCATTTAATTTAAAAAAGAACTCATTATCGATCAAAATTTAAAAATGTTCTAACGTTAGACGTAATTCGAAAAATAATGGGTTTTTTAATCCATGTTGAAATAGAGAAGATACACAAAAACTTGTTGCAATGATCTCTTAGCACTCCACCATTATCATAATATTGCCTTAACTCTATAGTTTAGGTTTTTTTTTTTATGATAAAAAAGATGCATGTGTTTCCACTCTTGATTTTTTGAGTTTGAACTTCAGGATCAATATTTAGAGAAATTCATTACTTTAAATGCATCGAACATATATATATACATATATAAAAAAATCTTATTTTACCACATTTTGATTTAATTATAAATTAGTTCATGTTATTAACTAATTAGTCTATGTAATATCAAAAATAATTAAATAGGGCATCAATCAGTATAGATCATCCTCGGTTTAGTAGTTTTTTTATTTATTTTAAAAATACATTTTTTCCATCTAGTTTTCTCATCTTATCGACTCTTCTTTTCGGTGTTTATTTTTATTTATACAAAAAATAATAATAATAATAATAAAAGAACACGAAATTGACAAAAGAGCTAAGTTCTAAGTAGATTTTTAAAAATATAAAAATTAAATACATAGTTTTTTAACCAAAAAATGCTAATTTTATTAACCTATAAGAACTAAGTTATAATTAACAACAATATTTTTTAACCACCGAAGAATAGAGATATTCTAGAAAGAGAATCAGAGAAATGGCTGCCATCAACAAGCATGGGTGAGATAGTCAAAATAAGTCTGCACTTTCCATAGATTAGAACATCACTCACCTTTTTGCTTTATGCCTTCACGTGAATTCAAAATTCAAAGGACAGCATTAAGAAAATATGGTCCTCACGGGAGGGAAAATAAAGTTGATTATTATTTGTATTATTTAATCTTTTATTATCAATCTCAACATAGTTCATGTGTGAAAATATTTTGATTTTTTATTTTAATTTTTTTTATAGAATATTAATGCTCGTCAAGTCTGCCTCTATTGGTGGTAAATTTGATGCAATAAAAAATGAGTTTTGTTTATATCGAAACTCCGTATAATTTTAATTTTTTTTATTTAATTTAGGAGTTATATTCTTATGTTATTTTTGTTTCAAATTCTAATATATCATATAAGCACATGTTGTAAGTTTTAGCTAATGATAGTTTATCGTATGTCTTAATGGGTCCTAATTGAGTTTTAATGAAAATAAATAATTCTTACGTGGTAAACTTTCATTAATTAGAGTTTACCACATGTGCTTACGTAATAAATTAGAATTTGAAACAACAATAACAAAGAGTAGAACTCTTAAATTGTACAGAAAAAAATTTAAAATCTTAATAAAAAAATTCGAATTGTACGAAATTTCGATATGCTTAAAACTTAATAAAAAATCAATGCAATATTATAGCTAACCAATAAAAATGTCTTCAAATTTGGACAAATGAGAAGAAACCTTTACGAGGGAATTTGCACATTGATTTCAGACCATGTTTTTTCTTTGATTTTTCTACTTTTTTTAACCATGTGAAAATATGATTTTTGATGATACCAATTAACTTAACTAAGCCCACAGTTCACACCCATTTTATGATCTTACCAACTTTTCACCTGAAAATATGGTAGAAAGATCACAACACAATCGACGTACATGATAATGATCATTGCACACAATAATGAGTCTAATGTAATGAACATTAACTACCAACTAAATCATAGCTAACCATAATTAATTAACGAAATCCTAGAGAGTAATCATCATCCTTGGTCTACCATGCATATCAACACGCAAGGGAATCACAATAACATCTTAAAATAAAATAATATTATGATTTATAATCATGTAATAGATCTCATACTTTTATATATAAAAAAAATAATAAAATATTTTAGAGCAGTTTTAACATCAACCTGCTTAGCTTTTGATGAATTATTAAATTTTTTTATGCTAAATCAGCTCAAATTTAGTACCACTAAAATGTAATTACGGTTAGTTATCAATAAATAGTAAAAATTAAATTTTAATTTGAATCCAACCGAAGCAATCCCTTCCACCTTTATTAAGGCATTATTCTCTTATACAAGTCTAAACTCGATGACGGTCCAATTCCAACTTATGTGTACTAGATAACAATTTTTTATTCGTAAACTTCATCCTCCATTGAAAAATGACAGTGAGGCTAAGACACTTCATACCTATGGTTGGCTTCTTGAATTCAAATCTCTCATTAAATTTATAGGAATACATCTAATTGATATAGAAAATGTATGGTTAAAATTGTCTAGATGGAAAATTTAATTTCTATTGACAATTAATATGTTTCCGAAAATATTTTTATATATCGTTGAATGAAAAAAAAATCTCATGGGCCCATAAATAGCCTACCTAGTGCCCTGCGCCCGACGCTAGCCCATAATTTCCTCTCAATACCCTTAGCGCGTACCCAGCAAACTCTACTCACTCGCGTCTATCTCCACCTTCGTACACCCAATCCAATCTCTCAAACTCTCTTGTCCTGAAAAATCTAAAGTTCTTACATTACGAAAAACACAACGCTTTCAAAAGAGACTGAACTCCCTTTCTCTCTTCTTGTCTTAAAAATGCTTTCTTCTTTAACAAGAACCTATCTTTTTTGAGCTATGAAAGATGGGTTTTTTCCGGCGACTTTTTGGCGCCAAGAAGAAGTCTAGATCTTCAAAAACAACGCCCTCTGTGTCACAGTCCAACAAGGTTGATCAAACGTTGTTGTCTGATACTGCTTATGATGCTAACAATTTGGATGCCAATAAGCATGCAATAGCTGTGGCAGCTGCTACTGCTGCTGTTGCTGAAGCTGCACTTGCTGCTGCTCAAGCGGCTGCTGAGGTTGTTAGATTGACTACTGGTGGTGCTGGTGGGAGAGGTGGTGGTAATGTTGTCGGTGCCAGTCACCGGCGGTTTGTGGAGGAAGTGTCGGCGGTTAAAATTCAATCTGCCTTTCGTGGTTATTTGGTAAGTATTGTTCTATTTTTTTTTCCTTTTCATGCTCATGAGTCATGACTTTTTTCTTCCATGAATACCCTTTCAATCTGAGGGTCATTGCGTTTGTTTCTTTTCCTGATTTGGTCTTTTGGTCATTTTATTCCGGTTCTTTTCTTTTTTCTTTTTTCTTTTTTTAACCTCTATCGGTTAAAATAGTGGAAGAAAGAAAATTAATCTGAATTGTCAATCACTTGGGAAGTGGAATTGTTTAGGGATGCTTGCCAAAAGAATTAATTTTCTTCATTTTTTGTCAAAATAATTAATTTTTAATTGTGTTTCTTTCATTTTGGTCTCTAAAATCATAAAGGTTGGATTTTTGGAACTTGGGTTCTGGAAAATGCATAGAAATTATATATATATATATTTGCCAAATTCAACAACCTTTTCACTTGGTTTTATTTCTAATTGATAACAACATCTCCTCTCCCAAATTAATGCAAACCTTCTCTTAAGGTGGTCCAAAACCAAGGTTAAGAAAACAAAGCAAAAAACAGTTCCTTCCATGGCCAATAAGGAGTAACCGACACTAATTGTTTTTGCCTATTAGGTCTCTTCCTCAAGTAATATCACCATCAAACTTTTAGCTATGGCTCCAAACAGAATTGATTCTCTTCTTTATTTCAAAATAAATTCTGCACTTGCATGTGTCTCGTGTCCTCACACGTGTTTGTCCCATCTTGTGACTCTATGACACCAGCATTCGTCACTAGGACATCCTCAGTCTCTTGTCTGAATCCCTGAATTTATTTTATCTATATTTTTTTCTTTTTTAAAAAATTTGTTTGGCAGGTTTTATAATTTTTCTTTTGAAGTAGTGTTTATGAGTTGACCACAGTGTTTGACTCCAGTCTCTAGCCCTTTTTTGTGGTGCTGGTGGTTATGGCCTTATGGGGTTCAGTGTCTGCTTTTCCTTGATTCCACAGTGTAAAAAGCCAAGGAGCCCACAGAATTATTCTCACTGCTGCAAATTGCTGTTTTTGAAATACTTTCTTTTTTAATCTTGTGAGAATTTTAGCCCAGCAATTTTTCAATGATTGTTGAAATAATGCATGTATTGGTTTAAGAAATAGTTTCATAATATCAGAAGTTTCGTGGTGTGCTTTTATCAAAATGTGTTTAGTAATATTAATATAAAAAAAGATGGACAATATTTTCATGGAAATATGGTGGTCCATTGATGAGATGTGCAAGTACTAGATCCAGGCCGAGTTATCATTGTCAAATGAGCTGGTTACGTTTCCTTTTTTGAAAGAGTAATTAGTACTCCAACTGGGTAGTATTTTTAGCACCAACTTCGTTATGGCAAACATTCTAATATTGTAGCTTGCATTTGAAGCTGTTCATAGTTTTGGATTCTAGGGCTTGATGTGTTTCTTGCTGCAAGTTGACAGATTTTCAAAGAGTATGTAGCTTTTAGGTCTTAGTTTATTCACGAAACTTCAAACTTTCTTACCAAAGTTCACACAACTGCACCTAAACGTGCAATGATTTTCGAACTTTATCTGCCCAAGGACGACTTTACAGTCCATTTGGTTGAAAGTTCAAGTCTTTTCCCACGCCATTTGAAACCATTTTCTCCACCTTGGTTTTTTCAAAAAAAAAATAATAATAAAAAATTGGTGTGTGTTGAGATGATGATTAAGCCCACACTTCCTTTTCAACAACTCCATGTCTCTCATCTTCTTAAATATCATGCTTATCTGATCCTTTCATTTAAAATTCCTGGAATTTGGTGTCAAAAGAACTTGATCTTTTGATAATTTGAATATTTCCTTTCTTAAATATCATGCTCGAGTTAGGAATGTAGCAATACAGATGCTTAGTCATGATTGCTCTGCATTTTTATTTTTCACTTTCTACATCAGTTTGATTGATATGTTGGTGAGAAAAATTATAAATTAGTCCCTTTAGTTTCGAGAAACGAGTTAATTTATTCTCTTTATTTCAAAAATTAATTATTTAATATCTATATTTTTAAATATTCTTATAACTTAATCATTTTCGCTCTTCTTCAATTTAGTTTGGTTTTTTTCTTTAAGAAATAGAAAAATAAATAAAAAAATTGATGATAAGAGATGAAATTTTATGAAATAAAATAATATTAAATTAAGTGTGGTCGACAATAGTCAAGAAACTAAATAATTAGTTTTTTAAACAACGAAAACTAATTAATTTATTTCTCAAAAACAGAGAGACTAATATATAATTTACTTGTATATTGGATATTGATTTTATTTATTATTTATTTATTTATTTATTATGAAGGCAAGGAGAGCACTAAGGGCACTAAAAGCACTGGTGAAGCTTCAAGCCTTAGTGAGAGGCCACATTGTGAGAAAGCAAACAGCAGACATGCTTAGGCGTATGCAAACATTAGTGAGGCTGCAGGCTCGAGCCCGTGCTAACCGCAGTCATGTGTCCGAGTCTTGGCATACTCCTAGCATGTCCTTCCATTCTCGTTACGCTGTAAGCAAGCTTTCTTTTCTGTTTACTTAGTTCTTGGTTTTTCCAGACATGCATTTAGAGGTTTAAAAAATAAGGAAAGAAAAAAGATCTAAATGGTTTCAGATGTGCTATGAGTAATTGAGTATGGAACTTCTAATGCTTGCCATGAGCCTGCACAAATCTCAATACACACCCCTGCTTTATTTTTGTAGGACCACATCCACGTGCCAACTTACTGGTAAAATATAATTTATCCTTTGTTTATTTAAGGAAGACAGAATGTGTTTGGGAATGCAAAGAATGCAAGCATGAGGCATTGTGAAAGTGCTTTCTTCATGCTTGTAGCTATACTTGAAATAGCAATTGGCATTGCAAGTTTTCAAGTCTGACACTAGTCTCTTCAGAATGGTATATGCTATTCAGGTGTGGATTGAGAAATGCCCATGATGAGCGTATGAGGACACCTTAGTGATGCCATAGATGTTAACATGAACCACCATACACGTAAATTATCATCGTTGCTAGTCAATTATTTTGGTTATCTTATGGAGTAAAAAACTTTTCAACTCACTTTCAGCTACCTTCTTTAGAACGAAAGCTCCCCTTTTTATGGGTCGTGGCGAAGTAAGTCAAAGATCCAATGCGCATTCGGGTCAGATAGTCATGGGACGGGATCCAGTTCCGAGATCAATTCGACAATGAAACTCTTCTAGTAGTGATCTTATCTATGTCATTTCACTGACGCGATGTGTTGCTTGGCATCTGATTAAGCAAACCGAAGTTCATTTGTAAATTGAGAGTTGTAATTAAGATACTGAAACTTTCCATGGGTTGCAGAATTTATCAGGCCAAGACAGAACTACTATCGGCCTGGTCAAGGCATAGCCATGTGACTCAAGTAGAAAGATATAAAGCTTTAATATAATTGTTGATATATGTGCCTTTTTTTCTTTTTCTTTTTCTTTTTCTTTTTTTCTTGGGAGATACTCACCCTTTAAATACATTTACCACAGGTCCCTGCAAGTCCTTCTAAGGACATCCTGTTTCGTGCTTCTAGTACCAAATTTGATGGGCCTTCAATTCTCAAGGTACCTCTTGATTGTTTTCATAGATTGTTTTGAATGATTATCCCAATGCCATCAATATATTGCAATTCACTATGGAAACTTATTGCATTTTTCCATTTCAATGCATGCAGAGATGTGGTTCAACTGCAAACTTTAGGGAGAGCATTGACTTCGACAAAGTAAAATTGGATTCAAATTGGCTAGACCGTTGGATGGAAAATTTGAGAAATGACCATGGCAACAATCCACAGAGAAATCGAAATGCTGATGATGAGAAGAGTGACAAGATCCTTGAAGTAGACACTTGGAAGCCCCATGTGAAATCCCAACAAAATAATAGAGCATTTCAGACTTCACAGCATGGTTTGACTTCAGATCATAACAATCAGAGCTTTATGACATTTGACTCTCCATCAAAACTATCAAAAAAAGCTCCAAATCCAATGCCGAGCATCCCTTCAGAAGAAATCATGCACTCTCTTAAATTACCCTTAGGAAATGATGAAGCAGTTTCTAGGACCGCCGAGAACAGCCCTCGTGTGTTTTCTGCAACATCTAGACCTGGAAGTAGTGGTAGAAGAGGAGGCGGCCCATTTACGCCAACAAGAAGTGAGTGCTCGTGGGGCTTCTTTAATGGATACTCGGGTTATCCCAACTACATGGCTAACACAGAATCATCTCGAAACAAGGTTAGGTCCCAAAGTGCCCCAAGGCAGAGGCTAGAGTTCGAGAAATATGGTTCAAGCAGAAGATCTGTTCAGGGATATTCTGATGCTGACACACGTTCCGAAAGGGGTTTTCCTCAAAATACCGAACTTCGGAACAAAGCTTATGTAGCATCTGGCTACTTGAATAGACTATGGACTTCCAACTTAAGGTGATAACTGTATGTTTTCTTATCGGTTTTTCTTCTTACTTTTACAGTGTGTACGGCAACATGCTAATGTTGTAATTATTTGATCATATGATCTTACAAACGTTGTCCTTACAGAACTGAACTGTTAACAGTTTGAGTGTGTCAGATTTGATGTAATATCCCAAAATTGTGGCTGTACCTTATTTTCATTCCAGCAATGTTCAAGTGTTATTATAGTTGTGCTCATATTTTCTTTGTTTCTTATTTCTTATTTCTTATTGTGTCTAAATTTATGATCCAATTTTGCTGTCACACCAAAACATTATGAACGACATGTTTGTTTTCATTGGCTAACTATTTTCATATGAATTAAGGATTTTGCTAAAGACAGCAGCCATGAGTGCAAGGATGGTTAAGATCCATGACTGTCCTTGCATAGCCAAAAATTTCTGCTATGTTAGCCAACGTCAATCACAATTCACAAAGCCAATAAGTTCAGAACCAGACAAATATCAAAATCTGTATCTTTATCCCACTGTGGAGTCACGGATACCAGATTCTTTCACTTGTTTTATCTACATTGAATGGTCCCGGTTGATCTGTCAATGGTTGTCTGAAATGGCTACATATCAAAGTGAAAAGAAAGCACTGATGCATAGCAGTTAAAAAGAACAGCTGGCTATATGTTGCTTAGTGCCCAAATCAGTCAAATGTAAACTTTGGATTCCCAAAACATGCCAAGGAATCATTATGTTGAAGGATTTGATGATGTGAAATTTTTCAATGGTGATGGCGACATAGAAAGAACAATTCTGTGAGAAGAATATGACTGCAAACAGCAGGTGATGGTGCACATTGTCTTTGTTTCATCTCTTTCTCTTTAATTTCGGATTGTCGAAATCGCACCTATTGACTCAAATAACTATCTCAATCTAAAAAATTATTTTATATTATTTTTTAATATATTTTTTTAAACTAAAAAATTTAAAATTTATACATATCCATATTATTTTATGAGTAGAAAAAAAATAGGGTGGTAGGATTCAAATTATTGATCTTTTGATTAATAAAATTTTGATATCAAATTAAAAAACTATCTAATTTAGAAACAAAAACTTTTAAATAAAAGTCTAGAAATAATTTTATATCATTCTCTAACATATTATAATATATAATAAAGTTCGTATAGAGGATGGCATTAAGTATTGATCATGCAAGATCATTGCACGAATATCCCCTTTCTAGTCCATGAATGAAATGACATTGCATGAGGTGAAATAAAATCTTGAGGTAACATAAAGCAAGTCTTAAAACGTGGATTTGCTTTTACTATCTCTTGAGAGAATAGTGATTTATGTGGTCTAATCCAAATCTAATTGTCACTTAACTTTGTGTGATTTTGAAACTTTTTAGCAATCGTGCAATCTCTTTCGGTGAAAAGAAATAAAAAGTAGTAATTGATAACTATACAAACTTTAAGCAAATGAAATAGATATGTTCGATTCATGAATGCATCGATTCGGATAAAATTGATTAGCCTAAAATCGAATAGAAAACCAAATAACTTGTAACACATTAATAGTACTATGAGTTTTGCCTCGTGTGAATTAAAAAAAAAAAAACGGATAGAAAAAGACTTAATTTTGATTAACGAAAGCTAAGTAGAGAATAATGGAGCAACTATAACAATACTTGTTTAAAATAAGGAAACAAACACAATACACAAAATTAATTATCAATTCATCATCATACAAGCTCAGAGCTTCTATTTTAGAAAGAACTGTCAATTATTTGTATTTTTCCCAAAACTGTTCTTAAAGAGAAGCTTCTTATTCGATCTCCCATATGCAACTCCATGAACCAACCTCCTAGCAAATGTATTATGTAATGAAACGTAGTTTAGATGGGCTGGAGAAAGGCTTACAAGGAGCAATCTGTATTTGGATCAAGAACAAAGCCCAGATTTACTCCACAAAAGCCTGGCAAAGTAGCAATAGCTGTAGAATTAGAACTATAGGTAGTAATGAGGCCCATTAAGCATTGACAAATAGACCTCTTATTATTCCCAGATTCACCAATCACATCCAAGCTCATCATGGAATCACAACATGGTGAACCTGGAAGTGGGTCTGGTGTACCATAATTGATGAAGGTGGAGCAAGCCGTGAGGAACCCTGTCACGGTGGTGCAGTCCACATCGGCCGCCACTGCCAGGGCCCATGATAGAAATAGCAAAATAAGCCATCCATTCAATCCTTTTTGGACCTCCATTTTTAGAAAAACTTGATTTGGACCACCCTCTAGAAGTAGCTCAATATTTGAGTTATTTAGTGCAAGATGGGAAATGGGACATTAATAGTGTTGATTAAGTTGGGTTGGTGTGAAACGAAGAACTTGTGTTCTTTCATGCTGGTTGAATGACCCTCTAGCCATCTAGCCACCAACGATATTGTATCTTATTTTAAATCATGTTTCATGTTTTTTGGAAAGTTTTTAAATTACAACTAATTTTATATTATTTTTAAAAAACTAAAATAGTCATTTTTTTTTTACGTGTTTAGCCTTGTAATAATCTCAAAAACTATTAAGTTGAAATCAAAAGTTAAGATTTATCTTTTCTTTTCTTTTTTTCTTAAATGCAAACACTGAATATTTCATCTTTACACGAAATAAATAATTATCCATTACACCAGTAGTTTGTGTAAAGGAAATAAAAAAAATATTATTTTAATCTTTTAAATAATATGAGATTAGTTTTAATTCAAAATTTATTTAAAAACATAAAACATTAATTATCTTCTGATTTCTAATTTCTTACTTAAATATTTTTAGTTAAAAAAAAAAAAATTGACGTTAACACTTTTATAGAGCAGTGATTAAAAAAAAGTATCAAAGAGAATGATGTAGTTTTTTTTTTAGTAAGAATGGAGAAAAAAGCTGTAATTGAATTCTTTTTTTTTTTTTTTAAGTTTAATCATTTCCAAAAGAATGTGTTTTATTTATTTATTTATTTATTTTTAAGAGCGTAAAAGAAAGTAATAAGAAACAGAGGGAGAAAACTGAGAGAAAGAGGAAAAGAAATCCTTTTCGTTAAGTATTTCTGTTAATGAGTGTTGTATATCTTAAAAATTGTATATGAAGGTGCTGGTTTGAAGAAAAGTAGATTTATTTTTCAAGTTATTATACTGGTTTCTGTACGGAGGTCCAATATAAGAAAAGTTCATAGGAAAAAAAATCTGAAAAATATATCAATTAAATTTGGATAATTTGACAAAAAACTCTTTAGAAACTAGAAAGTTTTTGTATATCAAAACTAATATGAAAAATACTTTAACTATGTTTTAAAAAAAATGAAGGATAGTACTATTAATCTTTAAAAATAGGATAAATTATAAATTGTTCCCTCTCGTTTTACAAAACAAATTAAATAGTTTTTTTGTTTAAAATTAAGTAATTAGTCTCTTCGATCCATTTCATATTTCTTTTCAATTTATTTTATTTCACTCAATATAAAAAAAGTAAATAATATGAAAATGTTTATGACGAAAGAAAACTTTTTTCAAACAAATGTAATATTAAATTTAGTATAGTAAACACTTGTAAAAATTTAAATTTATAATAAATATAGGCCTAGCTAACAGTCTGGTGTCGTGGTGTAGTTGGTTATCACGTCAGTCTAACACACTGAAGGTCTCCGGTTCGAACCCGGGCGACGCCATTTTCCTTCCCAATTTTATTTATTTTTATTTTTATTCTCTATGTATACACATTTGGCGTGGGAATAAAAAGAAGGTAAAATAGCACATCAAATTACTTTAGGTTAGCCTAGTTAGTTATGCGGTGCCGTGGTGTAGCTGGTTATCACGCCAGTCTAACACACTGAAGGTCTCCGGTTCGAAACCAGGCGATGCTAATTTTTCTTCCCAATTTTATTTATTTTTATTTTTATTCTCTCTCTCTTCTATAAATATATATAATAAGCAATAAAAAGGAGGAGGTAAACAGCAAACCAAAGTAGTTTCTAACCTAAAACTGTGCATAAATATACAAATTATACATATGTAAAATGAAATATTAAACCCATAAATTACAACTTTTTTCCCTACTAAAGGTTGTTATCATTGCATTTCCATCTCGAGGTAGGGACACAGCTGAGGTAGTGACACCAATGGCAATGATCATTTCCATTCTTTCCCTTGAACAACATCACCAATGCAACTGTGAATCTGCATTTTTAAGTAAAACAATCAGAACAATGCAAGTAAAAACTCGTAGGATCGATCGTGCTGAAATAAGATCGGTCGATGAGGATGCCAACTTTTCAAGCAATGGCAAACAGAAAGGACATTGGCTTTTTGTGTGGTCATCTAGTATTACCAAATGGAACAAAAAGTTCATGCCCCACAACCTCAAACTAGACATCGGTATTCAATGCCTGTTAAAGTTGGTCAAGGTTGCATCTGCAGCCCACAGCCAAGTGAAATAGCTCCAGTTGTTTGCCTTTTTCATAATATTACAAAGGGTTTCCAACCTGGCAATCATTTTAGGATTCTATACTATTATGCCATTATGCTTATGATATTCTAGTGTTCGAGACGGCTAGATTAGTGAAAATGGACATGGAGATAATAAATCGACAAAAATTTCAGTTAAGTTGATAATTTGGAGTTTGGGCAGTGACTCACCCTACAATCAGCAGAGCCACAGAAACCAGCCATAGAGCATATTGGTAAACCTTGTACTTAGATTTGAGACCAGCACCGGAGGGAAGATTTCGACGCTCTAGCCAACTATATTGAGGACGGGGTAGCAGAACAAAGCCTAGGAGGAATCCTGATAGAAATCCACCAATATGGGCAAAGTTATCAACATGTGGCAGAATTCCTATTGCAAGGTTAATGGCTATGATGACCATAAGCGTGATCAGAGCTGCAGCCTGTGGAAGCAACAAACGGAAGGAATGAGGAAAGGAAATCGGCACAACTAAGTTTTGGTTATATATAGATGCCATTGTTTTCCTATGGTTGCAATACGGTAATGGATAACCAGGAAAAAAAGTACTGAAAACTTTGAACAATTGCATACCCATGACCTTGTCAAACAATATGCAAGCATCACTGACCTTGTTGGTATAGATGCTCCAGTTTGTAATTAGTTCTGAAAGCATTGCTCCAAGAAGCCCGAAAAGGGCCCCCGAGGCGCCAACAGAGATGTTGTTTCTAATAAATAGAGAGGAAAGCACACTACCACCGAATCCTGACAGCAGGTAAATAACTCCAATGCGAACTGCCAATATGTGACAAAAGAACAGATCACCTTAAAGGTAATCATACTAATAGAAATAGAAGCATAAACAGTACAAGAAGAGCTTAGTTGTTCATCGTGGATAAACAAAGACTACAAGAACCAATTTCATAGCAAATCTTTATGTGCAGCCTAGTGATCCAACTCAGGCAGCCCGATGCAAGTATAAAGTAGGTCAAGACTCAAGTTTTGTCGAACTTTACTACTGAAATTGATAGCGAAGAACTATTGGCCTCTCAAGGCACATTTTGATAGCTACTTACCAAACCCGAATTGCTGCTCGAGACGAATTCCAATGAAGACCAGACTCAGCATGTTTGCCACAAGATGAATAACACCAGCATGCAACCAGATACAAGTGATAAGCCTCCATCCTTGGTGCTTATGTACAATCTTAGTCCACTCAAGAGCTCCCAACTTCTCCAATCTTTAAAAGTTTGGAAAAAAAAAGGAACAAGCTTCAATTTTTTGCAGCATTTCTTAATGTAATTGACAATGATGAACCAAGAAATAACAACTTTCAACGAGTAAATTATTCTGACCCCAAAGATCAAATACCCCTTAATAATCAGACACAGAAAGAATATTAATTTAGTATTAATCAGAAATGTTGGAGAAAATAAAGAAAAAATATCAATTTCATCAGATCCATAATTCCCACCCTTAAATCCATCAGAAAAACATATAGTATGTCAAACCAATAATCCCAGAATTCATGTCATTTGCCTCCACAACGACAACATAAACCAACCTAGAAACACAGCCATGAAAGCAGTAATTGACATATGGGCATCAATTTCTACAGCAGAGCCACCAAATTCTCTCTTCAAGCTTCTAATCAATCAAAAAAAGAAACCATGGAAACCACACACAAGGCATTTCATATTCATCAAAGCAGTGCCGAATTTCCAAATTCATGCCTACACCAATCAAAAAGAATCAAAATTCCTCCCCTAACTCACTTGATCAAACAAAAACCATTGAAAAAAGAACACCCCAAGAGTCTAAAAAGCTATCTCGTACAGAAATTTAAACCCCCACCAGCACTTAATATTCATGACATGAAGCAGAAAGAAACAGAAAAGGCAAAAACAAGAACAAGAACAATTATAGAAAGAGTAAAAAGTAAAGCAAAGAATAAGTGGATTACATACGTAGCAGAAGAGGGACCAAAAAGGGGATTATCTTTCAAAGGCTCGAAAGAAAACCTCCCAAGAAACCTTGCAAAACACTTCCCCTCGATTCTTGTATGTAAATGTTTAGGACAATTATTGATGTACATCACAACAATGAAGACAGCAACATTTGCCACCACAAACATAGGTACAAGCCATGATGTCCAGTAATGAGCTTCTGTATCTTCTATCACATATGTTGAAGTTGACAAGTAACTGTTGCTGTTGCCGTTGTTGTTGCTGCTGTTTCCTCTGCTCTTAACTCCTCCTCCTCCTCCTCCTCCTACGCCTCTTTCTATGTCTTCTCTAGACATGTTTGATGTTTCTTGATGATGTTCTAGGCGTTTCTTCTTTCAAAAAACTGTACTTTGGTTTCTTTGTTTCTTTATCTCTCTAGAAATGGCGTGTTGGTGGATTTGCTGAACTTCGATGGCTTTTAATGGAGAAAGAAAGAAGGAAAGTTGGTGAGGATTTTTAGGTTTCTAACTGCCACAGTGAGCAAGGTAACCTCCCCCCATGTACATTTCTCATTTGATCTGGTACAAGCACTACTATAGTTCCCTTTTTTTAACAATCCATCTTTCTTTTGACACGTTGGTTATCAAATTTTCTTTTTTCCTTTTTTATGTTGATTATTTTTTACCCAAAAAAAAATAATATTTCTACATTAATAAATACTTTCTATTTATTATTCCTATTTGGTAATTGTACCGTAAAATTTTTATTGGATCAAAAAGGCTAATATTCCACAAAAAGAAAGATGTATAAAAAACTGTCATTGGAGCAAAAAGTTTCACTTTCTTTTGTTGGTGATGTGTCAAAATTTCATTGCGTAGATTTTATAAAAGGAATGGTCATGGAAGCAGGGGATAGTGGCTGATTCTACGCGGTCTTTCGCTTTCTGTTATTCGTGGAAAGCACATACGGTTCTAAATGTTTGAACCAATGGTTTTTGTTTTCAAGAAAAAGTTATGCTTTATTCTCGAAGACGAATCAATTTTGGCCAAGAAATATATGTAAAATTTACATACATAGCATAAATTTATATTATTGTGCAGCAGTTATCAATAAAAAATTAAACTTTTTAGTTTAATCTGAAAAATAATAAATTTAATCTTATTTATATAAAAATTGATCTAAAAATATTTTACTAATTGTAAATATATATATAAAAAAAAATTAAGAGAAAAAACAAGTAGTCCTTCATGTTTAATCTACATTAAAAAAGAGAGAAATTTGAAATTTAACGTATGATTAGAATATTCGATTATCTAAATACGAATGAATGAATAAAAAAATTTCTCATAAATATAATAGTTTGAATATAAATGATTTGTATAAGATATGATTGAGAAAAAAATAATCTTTTAAGTTTTATCAAGTAATCAAACTATCAATATTTGACTTAAAATATACATTCTGATATACAAAATGAAATACATTCATAGAATTTTTGTTTTTTTTAAAAAAATACTAATTATCTAATATAATCAGCTAGTAATTCCTTGACTAGGCATCAAGTGCGTCTTCAGAAATTAAAATTGAATCCCTAAGGTATGATAACATGTTCATTTATGAACTCATCAACTATAATAAAAAGTTGAATAATAAATTCGATAATATCCGAATCTAATACGAACGCATTAACAACTGAATCCAAATAAATAATTAAAAAATTTGGATTTGAATTTATAAAATTCGATTTAGTCCATTTGTTAAACAAATTGAATTCGAATTTATTATGATTCGATTCAAATCTTATCCGCTTACAACCCTAATCATCAATAAATAAAGAGAATCTACGCTTGAGGTCGCAGCCCGGTTGTGAGGTTGAGGGTCGCTCACCAATGACACTCGGGTTCGAATCTCTCTACGCACGCCCGTCACTCTCGCGATGCCTTACCTGTCCATTGGGCTTGCGGGGTGTTCAATGGGCCTAGGAATTAGTCGAGGTGCGCACAAACCGACCCGAACACCTTGAGTTATCAAAAAAATAAATAAATAATAAAGAGAACCTTGAAACATTTTTATTATCGATGATCAAATAAATTGATCTCTGATTTAAACCCAGAAAAATGCTATTAATTAATTGGTACTCCATGCAATTATTGGGTTGGTGCAATCTCAAGGAAACCGACAAGATCATGGTTGGAAACACCAACATTATCTTGTGGGAAAGTATTATTGAACCGCTGTTTTTGCTGTCTCTATTTTCTTCTGTTCTTCTAATGGCTGTGATTTTTTTGGCAAAAAGAAAACGTGTGTGGACTGTGGTATCACATTTCATAATTCCATTATTCTTTAGATTAAATTAAATGTCATGGGGTGGTACAAAAAGGTAAAGGAGAAGCTGCAAAGTTAGTGATACATGTTTAATTAGGGTTTAATTAAATGTTTAAAGAAAGAAAAAGATTAAAATTCTTGCTATGAATTATGATTTATGAATTGACATCTAATTAATTAATTAATTAGTCCAAGTTTTATATATATATATATGGAATTTGATTCCCTTATCGTTTCATACTCAGAATTCAAATTATTACACCCTTTAGAGATTCCTATATAGTATAATCAATCAAAACTAGCATAGCTAATTTCTTTTTCTTTTCCTTTTTTTTTTTTCACTTGCGTTTTAGCTATCGTATTGAAAAAAAAAAAAAAACTAATATGTTGACTGGTTAACTAAAATGGGAAAATGGTTTTTTTTCCTAAACTTTCATGTTCTATTAATAACTCATCTAAAGATGCCTTTATATATATATATATATACAATTAGGGTAGCTTTACCCGTATGTAATTTCAATTATCTTGAGTTTGATTCCATTTATCACTTAAAATAAAAATCTACCAAAAAATATTCCAAGTTAATTTCATTTATTTTTTTCTTTATTTTTTATTTTTTTCTTCACAAATAGGATACATGATATAACAGGAGAGTCATACTGCCACGGTGGATTAAATTGACCACTAATATATAGAGATGAAAGGCTATTATGACATTGTCTCATAATTGGATCTTTCTAAAATTCAAAAAATCTAAATGAAGAGAATTTAAACTTGTAATCTCTTACAAATATAATAAATTTATTATCACTAAATGAGAATAGTGTTGATTAATTTCTTATATTGAGACTCTACTAACATCCTAAATACGTATGTTTAGAAGAGAATTTCTTTGAGTCTATGAAAAAGCAAATTCGCTTTTTCGTTTTTTTTTAATCTTTACGATATTGTAAGCTAAAAGATACAAGCCAATCTATCATTATTTTATCGAAGTATAAGATAAGTATAATTATTCAAAGAGTTTTTTATATGTAAAAAAATTCGAACTCGAGATCATTTACTTAGAGTTTTTCCTACTCAAACTAATCTTGTTGAGTAATTCATTTTTTCAATTAAATCAACAAATTTAAGGGTAAGTAACATTTGACAAATGATTGTTAATCAACCTAGAAAACTTGTATCATTTTTTGCATAACGTGATTGGTAAAGGAAATCACATTCTTAAAGAAAAGGACTGCTTCTTTAAATTTCTTTTGCTATTCTTGCATTTTTATCAAATTTCTTTAATCTCTCATCTGGCTTGCAGCTAACAACTTCTACCTTTCTGATGTCATAGAGATGGAATATTCAAAACCTAGCTAAAGCAAACTGGCAGGCAAGTCATGCCAACCAAGTGATGATCGTTTGGAATGATCTAGTGATCAATCAAGGCTAGCTAGACTTTCCTTCTTTTATTGATTATTTCCTTCTCTTTTGCGCTGGAGAATCTAGAATTCTGGCTTTAATAGCTCTTTTGCTGTTGAATTGGGAAGGAAACAGAATAAAACTAAGAAGAAAAAATAAAGGGAGAGAAAAATATGGAAGCTTGTAGAAATCAAAAGCAGGATTTGACAGCGATCTTCCTCTTCCTAAAGACGTTTTTGAGGTGATCACTGTTGGTTGGTTTGGTTCAGACAGTTGGGCTGGCTTTGTTCCTTGGAAGCTACTCTCACAATTATCTTTGACAAGTGGCAATTGTGATCTGGCTCTCACCAACATCAAAGTTACTGTCCTATGGTCCACCATTTTTGTCTGAATTTTTGAGGTCTATGTTGCTGCCGATTGTCCTGGATCTTTAGTTCATAGATTCTATGAGTGCATGATTTGAACATGGATGACATATCTCACATGTCATCTACGATGAATTTCGCATTTGCAAACTATAAAAACTAATTCAAAAATACCTTAATATATTTGAGCAGAATAATAATAATAAAAAAAATTATTTAATTTGTCTTTAATATAATACTCTAAATTTTTATATATATTTAAATTTTTAATTACATTTTATTTATTTTTAAAAAATTTTGAAATATTTAATTTTTTCGACAATAGATAAATTTTTTGACTCAAATACATTTTACTAGAATGCAAAAAATATTGAAAAAATAAAAATAAAATGTTTAAAATTATATGACTTGTATGTTCTATTCTTAAAAATTTTGTAATGTCTAATTTTTTTGACCATAGACAAATTTTTTAACTCAAATAACTTTTACTAAAATGCAAAAAATACCCAAAAAAATAAAAATAAAAATAAAACATTTAAAGTTATACGACTTTTATATTCTATTTTTAAAGTCTTTAGATTTTTTTTTCACTCAAAAGCATTTCAGATAAAAAAAATTTCTCGATCGAAAAAATAATTGGAACGAAATAAATATTTTTTAAAAAAATTAGAGACAGATAAAATATAATTAAAAATCTAAAGACATATAAGAGATTTAAGATATTATATAAAGATAAATTTAACTATTTATCCTTAATTTTGAAAAAAAAAAAAAAACCCCTCAAATGAATAAAAGTGAGATTGATGAATGGTTATTACTCTAGGTTTCGTATTTATACCAACAAGAGCCCCTTGCTCCTGGCCCCAAGTACACCGTAGAGTGAGTCAAACCTCCCATTTTGACAAAAGTGATGACAAGTCAGCCAGAAGTTATCCAAAACATGAAAACCACAGAATTGATAGATTAATGAACCTCTAGAAAGAGTGAGAGACCCTCATAATTAGGCTTCTTATCCTAAGGATGCATGCTGATTTTGATTTTGATGGCAAAACCTACCTGGCTGTGGAAATTAAAACCTTATCTTTATGTTCCATTCACTAACATAAATCAAAAGCAGAAACGCCCACCATAAACGCTGAAACAGGTTGCTTGACCCCTGGAAAACGACAAGTTGATAACTTGTTCAAAAATCTTCATCTTCTAGCATTTTCCTTTGTTTACCACGCAGCAAATTAAGATTTCAGTGTCATATCATTCAAGGCAACGATAGAGTAAACGCAAAGACCATTATCCATATTAAGAATCATGGCTCATGCAGCTTCTCAAAAACGGAACCAAGGGCCTTTTCTTCCAAAATCTCACCATAAGTGAGGTAGTATGAGATTTTCGTATGAAGCAATGTTTTCGATTCTTGTTGTGATAATAGGAACTGCAGTTCGGCAAACTAACCTATTAACACAACAATCCACAGCAATGGCAATGCGTGCACACCCAGAAGAATAGATAACCAATCCAATCTACTTTTGGGTCACCACCATAAGAATAAAATTCAAAGAATTTATCCAATCAAACCATGACTGATTAATAATCGGGGTGAAAAAAGTAGGTAAACTCTTTAATGAACAAAACGGCAACAATCGACCTTGCTCCATGTAAAATCTCCGGTACAAAATTATGACAAGTTAATAGTACTACAAAGGAAGAAGGATTTCACCGCTTTCCTCCACCCCCACCAAGCTTGGGGCCCTTCGGGGCAGCACCCTTTTGCAAGCTACCTTTGCTGCTCTTTTGTACCTTGGCCATTACCTCAGCCTTCTTGGCTTTTTTCTCATCCTTTGTTTTCTTAATCCTCTCCTTAATTTCACTGCACAGAGAATCAAGCATTTAAAAAAAAAAAACAAAAACATCACTAAGTACCAACATTTACTAGATTGCCAGAGCATATTGATCATCAACCAGCAAAAAGAACATACCGTAGGGCAGCCTCTCTTGCAGCATCACGGACTTCAGGTTTCTCAGTTCGCTTCTTCTGTATGACCTCCAAAGTAGCACCTACAATGGACCTTGAGTAAGGTTTTTTTGTAGTGCGACGCCTCTTCTTAATAGTTTCAGCAGCGATGTCCTGTAATTGGGTAAGAAATGTCAAAATCAACATATACTGCATTGTGAGTTTCTTTCTGAAGAAACCAATCCTTCATATAGAAGCATTCTACTTCGCCGTTGAGCAATTAATAGAAACCAAGAAAAAAGTTACCTTCTTGTGTTGCTTCCTGTACATAGCTGTCCAGGTTAGCTTTGAGGGCTTCAGCTTGTTGTGGAAGTACCTCTTGCATTTAGAATTGGCAAAGAGGAAGACCTTGATTGAAAGAGAAAAAAAAACTTACTGAGTTTTACAGCCTGTACTGTAAAGTGGTGAAAAATAAAAAGAAAATGTAATGCCTTCAACTCAAACAGAAACATTACCTGGGAATCTGAGCGAATAAATCTGATACCCTTGCCGGGATATATCTTTGCCCCACTGAAGCGGCAGAGTTCAGTCCTGAAATCATCCAGAAAGAAACCTTTACAAAGGAAATCTATTTCCAAATCAATAAATATGCTCCATTCCAGGGTAGACATGTTTGACGGTTATCATGATTGCATATGTAAAACCAAAATTGACTTTATTTACACGACCCAACAAATCGACCCAACAAATCTCCGAAGTCCATCAAAATCCTAAAACCCCTGTGTGTGAACCCAAAAAACTGCCTATTACTCTCGACTACCAGTTCAGTGACTAATACGCCACTTATTCTTAGCCACATCAAAGTTTTGCACGTACTTAAAATCAAATCAATAAGAAGACCCAAGTATAACACTCCAACTAGAAGATCTTATAAAGTGTCAGAGACATGACTAAACCTTAATCTCTCGTCCCAACTTCAATTTTATCCAGTCTTAGTAATTCCCTTGCTTACTTTTCTGTGGTTTCACTTAATTCTCTTCCTGAACTACATAAATCACACTCACAAATAGATTATTGCTTAATGCTCTGCCAAGGAGCCGAAGACTAAGGCAATATAACAAACTGCTTAGTCTTATTCCAGTTTTCCATTGAACATGATTATATGGCAAATCAATTCAAAATGTTATATTAGTATTTACAATTATCTTCTTTAACATTTGAGTAACAAAAAGATTCACTTGAAACCCACCTACAAATTCTTCTATCCTCCAAATATGTACAATCTATGCGTCACCAAAAAGCTTAAAACTTTCATAAAGATTGCATTTTGTAAGTTTCATAAAATGATACAAGCTCAGCTTTTTGCCTTGTATTATCATATAAAACGGTGGTTCTAAATTTCGACATCAGATATTCAGATTGTAATATATTGCAAACAAAACCTAGATTACTCAGATTCAATCCAAAAATTCACGGGCAGCTTAAACAATTAAAAAAAAAACCCATCAAGAAAAAAGCCATAAGAATAAAACCCATTTCCATAGACATTGAAATGGAAATGTATTGGAGAGAAAGGGGCGTACTTGAGCACCATGGTGGCCGCAGCTACAGATTTTTTGGCAGGGAAGAAAGAAGATTAGGGTTTGGTTTTCGAAGAGACGATATATACATGCACACGAGTAAATTATAAATTAGTCCTTCTAGTTTGCAAAATGAATTCAGAAGTCTCTTTTGTTTCAAAAATTAATTAATTAATCTATCGATTTTTTTTTTTTTTTAACTCACAGCACTCAAGATTTATAGTAGAATTAGCCTGTTAGATTCATAGACCATTGTTGAATGTAGTTAATTTAATATTATTTTTTAAAAACAAATATTTCTTTTTCGTATTTTAAAATTATTTTTTTATTTTTATTAAAAAAATTATATTAAAAAATAAAAATGATTAAGGTACAAATAGACTAGAGAATAAATAGATTAACAATAAGTTATTAAAACCATAGGAACTATTTAATTTATTTAGAAAAACTAGAGGTGCTAATTTGTAATTTACTCATTGCCCCTTGTATCAATGTGGGCTTTAAGGTTATGGGCTTGGTAAATAGAGACTTGAAATGGGCCAGACCAAAACATTAGGAGCCGGGATCTCACTCTTATGGGCCTTTGTAATTTACGTGCTTTATAGTTTTGAAATTTAATTTGACCCCATGTGATTTGAAAGTTTACAAATTCATTCAAAAACAAGTCTACTTACAATAAAAAAATTAAAAAAAAAATCTACTTTTTTTTTGTTCCAACCATAGATATAATTATAAATTATCCTCTCTAGTTTCTGAAAATTAATTAATTATTTTTTCAAAAATAATTAATTTGTTCCTATATTTTTATTTTTAAACCACTTCTTTTAGTACTACTAACAAATAATTATGGCTAATTATTCAGAGAAATTTTTGTTAAAAAAAAGCTGGAGTGCCATGTTCCTTTAATTTGTAATTAATTGCATTGATCATTGCCCATCATATTTATTGGCATAGACTAGTATCTAACACTGCCAATGTTACCCCTAAACGAATTTCAACTACAGTGGTGGTTGATGCTTTTTATTAAAAAAAAATTATTATATTTGTTTTTTTTTAGAAATATATTTATTTATTTATTTATTTTTAATTTTTCTTTCTTATCTTTTGAGTTATATTGAAATATTTCATATACTTTGGAGACAAAATTGAAATTTACACAAAGTGAGATAAAAATAAAAAGTAAGGGATTTAATTGAAACAAATAAAAAAATAGATGAAATTTAAAAAATACTTAAACCTCAGAGGGATAAATTAAAATTTACCCTAATTTTACGTACTTCCTTCTTATTAAGAAAAACATCAAATTTATGTTTTAAATAAGCTTTGCCATACATGATTAATTGGTGAAGAGGTCCTTGAGGACTATTTCGTGTTTGCCTACAGAACTGTTGAGAAAAGGAGATTGAGAGAGCCTCTTATGTAATTAAATTGCTAAATTTTAACTATGGTTCGCTATTTTCGAAAGACAGCTCATAAAATTTCTAAAGATCGACTCGTAATTTATTTTTATTTTTTTACGAACGGAAAATAGTATTTTATTAATACTTATACAGGCATAAACACAATATTATTTACTTACAATGATTAAAAAACAAAATAAATGATAACGGTGGTAATTGAATCGGTCTATTTAGAATATATTTCGACAATAACATGTGAAATTGTCATTTCGAATAACAAATAATCTTTATATTAATCTGGATCATTTATATTAATCTTTATATTAATCACTTTTTAATTCACAAGATATGAAAAAATACTTCTCTCACATCACAATAATTAGCACATATAATGCTTTTTTAGCTCTCATGTTTTGCCTTTATTCACATCGAATGAATGATCAATCCAACAAATACCATGGATATGCATTAAATCAAGGTGTCAAATTCATATTTTTTAAAACCAAATTCAAAATAAAAAATAATATCAAAGAGAAACGATGTGCATTAAGGAATATAATAACATATTTGAGACACAATCTAATGTGATAAATAGCTTTAATTTCTGTGTTATCATTATTTCAGATTCAAATCAAGAAAAGGTTGCCACTGAAAAGTTTCTTATTTTTCATGTATGTACCGATTCAAGTTTTAAAAAAATAATAATAAATTGATCATCCAAATTTCCATCTTCAAGAATAAGAACTGAAAATCTCTCGATTACAGTTTGACAGAATTTTCTATGTAAAATGCTACATGCAAAATGATCTAGTTAACGATCCTTGTGTTCCTTCGGGTTATTATATAAAATTTTGTGTTCCTTTTTAATTGAGTAATTTTTATTTTCCAAAATCATTAATTTAACCATTTTTTTTATACAAATCATAAAAAAATATTTTATTATAGATGCAATTTAGTTATTAGGTAAACTAAAAATGATATTATTTGTGTATTTGCTTAAAAAAAAAAAAAAAAAAAACAGTATTAGTGGTTTGATAGTTTCAATTAATCGAACTCGTTGAAGAGGATATTTATATTTTATTAATTATTTTTGTATAAATAAAGATAGAAGAACAAATCTTGAAATTCAAAATATATTTTCTAAACAAAATATCTATAATGATAATAATAAAAATTCAAAATATTACAAAAAAAAGGACCAAAGCAAAACGTATGATTACTATTTATTATACTATTTAAAACATTGCTCACCAAAATTCATTCGCATCATTCATCTAAACTAAAATCCACTATTTTTTTCACCATATAATGGCATTTTTATAATTTTTAAATATTTTTCAGATATTTATTATGAAAGTTTTGATGATATTGCACTTTATTTCCTTATTTTTAAATATTTTTTAGTATGTAAAAATTTTTTATTTGATTTTGGTCCCTTTTTTTGTTTCATTTTGATCACTTTGATCTCTTTTTTTTAATAAAAAATTTTAAGGCAAAAAATGTTTTAAAAAATAATTTACAAAATAAGTTTTTAACTAATGATCCATTGATCTTGACATTTTCTATACCATTATAAATTTTTTAGTTTGTTGATAGAAATAAATAAATAATAAGTGACATACAAAATTTTGATTAAAAAAATATACAATTAATTAAATTTTTATTCAATTTTGATTTGATATATGTTAGTATATGCACAATATAACATAAAATATTAAATTAAAATAAGTTTTTTAAAACAATTTTATGTGTTCTTTCCTATCCATAGCTTATGAAAAAAAAAACTAGTATTGTCTATACAAAATGTCTTTCAAGTCTCCTCGCACTAAAGCCGATAGGATCGATACGAGTTCCTAATGACAACGATTGTACATAAGAAGGTTATTTTGCAATAGCCACCCATCTGCCCGAAATGAAAATGTAATCATCCAATTACCTTGAGTACAAGGAACAAGATGGAGCAGCGCAGGTTGACCATGCCCATTCATTAGACATAAGCCCAGGTCGGTGAGGAAAAGACCTGAAATAGGAAAATCAATGTTAGGAAGAAGACAAATATCATAACAACCCCAACCACCGATGACCACCCCCCAATTCTACACTTTCAGAGCACGATATCCATAGGTTCACGTCACTTTTGTGGATCCATGAGTCTTATCTTCAACATGATCAATTTTACCGAGAAAAAAAAAAATTGCAATGACTTCTGCATTTCCAAGAAAGTATTACAAAAAACGCTCGAGGTCGTAGCCTAGCGGTTGAGAGCTTGCCCAATGATCACTCGGACTCAACTCTCTCTGCGCACACCTGTCACCTTCGCGGTGCCTTACCTGCCTAATGAGCTTGCGAGGTGTTCGGTGGATCCGGAGATTAGTTGTGGTGTGCACATAGTTGGCCGGACACCTTGGGTTATCAAAAAAAAGAAAAGAAAAGAAAGGACTACGAAAACCTATCAACGAATTTTGTTTTTTTAGGTTCAATAATAAAAGTGTTTCATTAATCGGTTTTCGTATATTTCAAAAATGATTCATTATTACGTATGGTTAGAGGATACTTTTTAACATATTTTTTTGAATATTTTGAAAATAGATTTTCAAGAGTTTTGATTATAAAAATCGAATTGCGAATCTGATTTAATCTATCATCTCCTAGTTTATCTAGAAATTTTTTAAGTTTAAAAAAGATGCTCCC